AGGGAGCCCAATGCAGGGCTCAATCCCAGGACCCTGGGATCATGACCTGAGCTGAAGGCAGATGCTTAACGACTGAGCCACCCAGGTGCCCCAGTTTGGAAGCTTCTTAAAAAGTTAAGCATAGGGGCACCTGGGTGGCTCAGTTGGTTAAGTGTCCGACTTTTGGTTTTGGTTCAGGTTATGATCACATGGGTCATGGGATCGAGCCCTGCGCTGGGCTCCGTGCTAATCGTGGAATCCACTTCAGATTCTCTGCCTCTCCTTCTCCCCCTGACCTTACCCCCGCTCGTTGCACACTCTCTCTCTCTCTCACAAATAAATAAATAAATAAATAAATAAATAAAATCTTAAAAAAAAAATTTAAGTATATATTTAACATATGATCCAGCCATTTCCTCCTTGGTATTTTCCAACAGAAATAAAGCATATGTCCATACAAAGAATTTGCACCACATGTTCATAGTAGCTTTGTTTGTAGTAGCCAAAAATCAGAAACTACCCAAATGTACAGCAGCAGGTAAATGTATAAACATATTGTGGGTTATAACCACACAATGGAGTACTATTAAGCAATAAAAGGGAATGAACTATGGTACATGTAATACAGATGGATCTCAAAATAACTATACTGAGTGAAAGAAGCCAGAAATAAAAAAAGAGTACTTACTGTGTGACTCCATTTATATAAAATTCTAAAAAATGCAATCTAATCTAAAGCAACAGAAACAGATTAGTGGCTGCTTTGGGAAGACAGGAAAGAGAAGCAAGGGGTATTACAGAGAGCCAAGAGGAAACGTTTTGGGGTGATGGATATGTTTAATATCTTAATTGTGGTGATGGTTTCATGGGTGTATACATGTCAAAACTTATCAAATGGTACAATTTAAATATGTGCAAGTTTATTTTATGTCCATTATACCTCAAAAAAATCTGGTAAGAAAATTTAAAATTTACACATTATTAGTTTAGAGGAGACCTGTGCTATAGTTCCCCACCCCCCCCAAAACACAGCACATATTTTTTTGTAGGATGAACAGTTTTTACAACTAAAAAATAAAATAATAAAATCAAATAAAATTTACACATGGTATATAAACACACACAAATGTGCTTAACATCATTAATTAATAAGGAAATATAAATTAAAACCACACTGAGGTCCAATATAGTTATTGGGAAAAGGATCAAGCTGTTTAATATGGTTTCATATTGTAGCAAAAATTCATCTGATTGGGGCACCTAAGTGGCTCAGTCAGTTAAGCATCTGGCTCTTGGTTTCAGCTCAGCTCATGATCTCAGGGTCCTGGGATTGAGCCCATGTCTCCATGCTCAGTGTGGAGTTTGCTTAAGGATTTTCACCCTCTGCTCCGCCCCGAACACCCTCTTGCACACATGCATGCACTCTCTCTCTCTCAAATAAATAAATCTTTAAAAAAAATTCATCTGATTTACAAATAACATGAACTCCCAATCTTTAAAGGAAAAGGTCATTTTCTGCTTTTATTACAATGTTTTATGGAGGCTGTGCTCTGGTGTCATCCTGTCCAGCTCCCATAGTCATGTGGAACAGTCTAATATGTACCATTAGCAACTCAGGTTTGTTCTCTGTTAGTTTCCACTAAAGGAAACAAGGTTCCTTGGTGACAATGTAGTCTATGTTTGAGAAAGAATAATTCAGGCTGTGTTTTGAGTTATCTTAATTATTATCACAAAGAAAGAATGTTTTCAGCAGTTCCCGGTGGGGCTGGAGTTAAAAAAGATGAAGAGGGTAACCTGACAAGAGGGCTGCTAGGGGCAAGTAGAAACAATCTAAGTAACAACTAGGAAAGATTTTTACACCCACCATAAATGCTAAGATAAAAAAGACTAACAACCACAAGCATTGGAGAAAATGTGGAGTAATTGGAAGTTTCACACATTGTCGCAGGCATGTAAAATGGTACAATCCTTTGGAAAAAAGGTTTGATAGTTGCTTATTAAACTAAACATACAACTACTCTAGAATCCAACAATTCCATCCTTAGATGTTTACCGAAGAGGAATAAAGACATATGTTTACAAAAAGTGTATAAAGACATTCAGAACACTTTATTCCTAATAGCAAAAAAAAGAAAAAGAAAGAAAGAAAGAAAGAAAGAAAGAAAGAAAGAAAGAAAGAAAGAAAGAAAGAAAGAAAGAAAGAAAGAAAAGCAAAAGCAAAAGCAGAAACAGCCCAGGTGTCCATCAACAGGAACATGGAAAAAAACAGACTGACACATTCATACAAAAGACTACTCAGCAATAAAAAGGAATAAATCACTGGTACATGCGACATGAATTAACCTCAGACACTTACTGACTGAAGGAAGCATTATGCTTTGTATGATTTCATTCATATAAAGTTTTAGAATGGGCAGATTTAATCTGTGAGGCAAAATAATCAGAACAGTAGATAACACTTGATAGGTGGGGTGGGGATTGACCGGGAAGGAACATGAGGAAACTTTCTGGAATGATTGCTGTGTCCAAATTTCGAAAAGGGTTTGGGTTACACAGATGAATGCATTTGCAAAAACTTAGCAAGTTTATATTCAACACTTGTGCATTTCATCGCATGTTTAAGTGTACATCAAAAATTTTAAAAACTAAACATTATACATGTTGAAGTATTAGGGGGAAGTATACTGATGTCTGCATCATAAAAGTAACATGGAGACATGAGTAATAAAACACATAGAGTAAAATTTAGAATCCATGAAGTTGGTAATTGGGTATCTACTATAAAATTCCATCAACTTTGCTGTACATTTGAAAATTTTCATAATAAAATGGAGAAAAGCCCTCCGTTGGTCTTTCTTTCTTTTTTTTTTTTTTTAAAGCTAGGACTTTATTTTTTTAAAGAGTTTATTTATTTATTCATGAGAGACAGAGGGAGAGAGAGAGAGAGAAGCAGAGGGAGAAGCAGGCTCCCAAGGAGCAGGGAGCCCGATGTGGGACTCGATCCCAGGACCCTGTGATCATAACCTGAGCCGAAGGCAGACGCTTAACCATTTGAGCCACCCAGGCGCCCTGGTCTTATCTTTCTAATATACATCCTATGCCTCTAATAAATTATTCCTTCTGTAAGATAGAGGTAGGTTCTATAGCAACATAGGGACCAGAAATTAGCCCCAGAATTTTCCCTGAAATTCTAAAAGTCAGATGACATACATAAGCCAGGTAAGACAGGTACGAAACTTATACAAATTATTGAGAAGGAAGCCAAGTTACCTTCAGAGTAATTACTAATACTGGTGTTTATTATCACCCACAAACAGGCTGAGAGTACCATGTTTTGCGTCTTTAAAAAAAAAAATTAATTTTAACCACTGAATAGAAGAATCGTCTTTTATATCAGGTTATATATGTGAATAGGCCAATTGTATCTCATTCAACTTGGTCCAAAATTTGGATATCCAATCACCATTTAAAAAACACTTATTAAGCATTTTCCTATACCCAGTATTACCATTAACAATATGCTATATATGACATAAAATAACATCATTTGCTTTTTGAGAGCTTTGGAGGAAATCTGGCATGTGTGTCAAACAAATCTGGATGTTTCCTACCTCTGCACTTACTAGTTGTAGGACCTTGAGCAAATTAACTTCTATAAGCCTCACTTTCCTCATTTACAAAACGTGGAAGGATAATGGTAGTTCGTACTTCATATGATTATTCCGAATGTTGAGTGAGCCAACTCATTTTACATGTATCACAGTGATTGGTAGATAGAAAGCACTCAATGAATGTAAGTCATCCTCATTTTTTTAAAAAGTACATACAAGAAACAAAACATTCAATTGGTATAAGAATGTGGAGAACCTTAATTTGTTTAAATAGAACATCATCTCCTCACTAGGTAGTTCAAAACCCTCAAAGTTTGAGAAATGTTTTAGAAAGTCAAAGAATGATAACCTTGCTGCACTGATACTGTGAGAATACAGAATCACAAGTAGTGAAATGCAGAAATACACTTCTTATCAGTATATTATCTAGACCTGCTGAAAGAAGCTATACTTCTTCACTCAGTTTTGCATTAAACACTCAGAAATGTTACCCATAATGTTTTGTGCCTATCACTAGTGCTTGTTAAGTAGGTGCGCACACAGTTAAAGACTCTAAAGTAGTCAGGCGGACAGTAGGGGTTAAGGTGGGGCCAGGAAGATATTAACTGCCGCTTGCCCCCCACCCCAAGAGAATGGCAGTGTCATGCCTGGCAGGTGGCAGAATGAACAGCTGCAAAGCCCCTGTGGGAAGCTGGGAAGCCCATACTTGTTCAAGAAGCATTCTGTACTGTCTCCTGCCATGTATGTTATCCATAAATTCCCCACATTCTTTACTATCTTCTACCTTTTGGCATCTTTTTATCAACCATCCTGTTAACAATCATGTAGCCCACATTCCCACATAATGTTACAATTGGCTGAAACTATGTAGGAGCATCATGTCCTTTTAGTTGGGGCATAACCCCTCTGTTTATTATACTGCCCACAACTCCCTATGGTCTTTCACACTAAGGTACATTTCCTGCCTGGCTCATTCACAGTGGATCCTGCTCTAGTTTGATTTTGGCAGTGGTGAAACATTAGGAGTTTCTCAGCGGTCAGTTCATACCTAGACTAGTATTCTATCCACCCACTCACACCTGCCCCCAGCCTAAAAAGCAGCTAAGGATCTCAGCTAGTTCTCAGATGCCTTTCTGAGTAGATGAGTTCCTATCATTTCATCAAAAGAAGATAATGACTTAAAGAAGAAGGGGAAACTCAATAAACTTCTTTTTTAAAAAAAGCAGATAGGACTGGAGTGCCTGGGTGGCTCAGTCGGTTAAGCGGCTGCCTTCAGCTCAGGTCACAATCCCAGGGTCCTGGGATCGAGTCCCATGTCAGGCTCCCTGCTCAGCAGGGAGTCTGCTTCTCCCTCTCCCCCTGCCTCTCCCCCGCTGCTCATGCTCTCTCTCTCTCATGCTCTCTCTCTCAAATAAATAAAATCTTAAAAAAAAATTAAAAAAAATAAATAAAAAACCAGATATGACTGAAGTCTTAGGACATCCTTTTCTGAAACATTCTTGGAGAGTAGGCTTTCTGCTTTTATATAACACTGCATCTGCTTTGAAACCCATACAACACTGGTTTCTTTCTTTTCTCTGGTGTTTTTAATCTATTACCTCTTAACAGACTTGTTTTTCAAGATGTAAATTCACTGGGTATGACTGTTTAGGTACAGTTAGTGTCTAATTGGGAGTTTGGGGCAATATCCAGCACATCATAACTATTCAACTGCTGTAACCACAATCATGTCTCTAAAATGCTCTGAAAGCTTCAAATATTATATTAAATAGTACTATTAAAGATGCATAAAATAAGAAAGGATTTTTAAATTAGTAGATATAAAAGTATTAGAATTTAATAAATGAAGATAGTTTTATTATCTTGCTCATGAGGTAATAATCACTTCTACTTTCCCAAATGGTTATTACACTTAGGATCAGATTCAGAAAGATTTATCTTTAGCCCACATATAAATATTTTCCCTTATTCTAAAACGTTAGCGATCTTCTTTTCTTTTGCGCAAAAGATAGTTTTAGGTTTGCTCCCTTTCTTTCTTTTAAATTTATGGACTCTGCTACTAATTTCTTGATGTCTGGAATAGGTTTAACACCTTTTCTCCTCAGCTTCTGTTGATCATAAGCTTGAAATTTATCTGCAAACTTCAAGGGCAGAAAAGAATAGAATTCACATCATTCTTAATATGGGATCAAGCCAAAACTGAAGGAAAGACTGAAGGAGTTTAAATTTTTTTTTTTTTTTTAAGTAGGCTCCATGCCCAGCATGGAGCCCAACATGGGGCTTGAATTCATGACCCTGAGATCAAGACCTGAGCTGAGATCAAGAACTGGATGCTTAACCAACTGAGCCACCCAAGTGCCCCCCAAAACCGAATGATTTTAATGTAAATTATCCAAGCTAGAATCCCATATTTTAAACTTAAATTTGAATCAGCAATGATTTTTATTGCTGTCTCCTCCCCTTCTATTTTTACTATTCTTTTGAAGCTGAATCAGAGAAATGTGCTGAACATGTGGATTGCAGCAACTGGATTTCTCAGACAGGAAGCAAAAAGAAACAATTTTCTCCCTTAGGTTGCTTTTATTTAACAATCTGAAGAGTGATTATCTGAGTTCAAGGATTATATTTAGATTGGTCCTAGCAAAGAAGAAAAAAATACTCCTTTCACAACTAAGATAGAGCCAAATTATATTCTAGCTAATCAGTCAATTCCCAAGCCAGTAGGAATTGAGGCTTTATCTACTCTTCTACAAGGAGCAGAACTGGTGGGATCCAGGATACCTTTATCTTATTGCATAGGTATGAAAATATTGCCTAAGTAGAATTGGAAAACTCACCAAATAAACAGAACGGTGAAATGAATACAACATTCTTAAATGCATTTAGAGCTGAACAGGCTACATATCAGAAAAAAATTTCACTTAAAGTTTGCTTGGAATCTTTTACATTAGTCTATGATAGAAACATAAATAATCAATGGGAACACCAAGCCAAGAAAATAAAACCATGGAAGAAAAGATAATCTGGGAACTAGAGGAGCCAATTCCTAATGCTATATATAAATACAAAACATATATATACACATATGTGATTTAAAAAAATGTTATGACACATTTGTGGCTCAAAAATACTCGTTCACATTACAGATCTCTTTTCTCACCCTTAGGCAAAGTTTGGTATAGAGGATAGAGGATTTCTTTCTGTATCTTCTCTGTCTTTCTTTTTGTCTCTCCTGCCTAGTCTTACCTATCAAAATTCCATACCATCCTTTAAGAACCATGTTAAATACTTCTCCATCAATAACCCTCTCCCAACAATTGAAAATAACTTGTCTTTTGTGCTCCCCAACACTTTATATTTGCATCACCACCAAGCTAAAAGCTCTAAAATGTTAGACTTCTTGGGATGTCATTCTAAAAAATTTGTAAAATGAAGTCCTTACCACCCCTTGTATGGCAAGAATTTAAAAAAGAAGTCACAGTCATCTGAAGTCAACACAAGACCTTTTTCTAGAAAATACTGGAGAACTTTCTATGCAGATAACAAAAAGGAGGACTGAACATAGCTGCAGGGGTACGTAGCTAAAAATCTTATAAGTTACATCTCAAAATTTAAAATTATCTCACTCTTTTTCACAACTTCTGTTTGTTGTTTCTTCATCGGCAGGGTCACATACCATCTGGTAAACATAGCAGCTGAAGACCCTGCTTGGTTTCTGTTCTATGTGTAGTACCAAGTCTCTGTCAAAGTAGACTTCATGGCTGTATGTCTGTAATGAAAACATAGTCAGATGAAATCTCCTCTTCACACAACCATCTTCACAATTATGTCACTAAAATGTCATAGCACCTATGCTAGGGATCTTCAAATATATACTTGGAAGCAAAACAATTGCTAGAAATAGTTTATTTTCATTACTTACGAATATGCAGATTACTTATAAGAAAAGCATTACACAAAACGTTGAAAATGAAAAAAACCCTGGTCGTAGGAATCTGAACACTCAGATTCTATTGCCTATGCTGCTATTTCACTGTGTGAAATAGTGGTCAAGTTGCTAAACCTCTTGGGTACTCCACTGATAAAACAAAAGGATTGGATAAAATAACAGCTACTCTTCCTTATAGTTTTTATATTCTATAATAATCAAAAAAGTAGACAAATATTTCTGAGAGTGCCTGGAAACCCTAATGCTTAGATAACATCTCTATTAAATAACCAGGGGGATTCAATACAGTATATTTCTATTTTTAAAAATGTTACCAAACTTATAAAATGTGAGAAAACCAAAGACTATGGTAAGGAAATAAACAGCATGTCTCAGAATAAAACATAAGACTTCATCTTTAATGGGCGCCTGGGTGGCTCAGTTGGTTAAGCGACTGCCTTCGGCTCAGGTCATGATCCTGGAGTCCCGGGATTGAGTCCCGCATCGGGCTCCCTGCTCAGCGGGGGGTCTGCTTCTCCCTCTGACCCTCCCCCTCTCATGTGCTCTCTCTCTCTCTCTCTCTTTCAAGTAAATAAATAAATAAATCTTTAAAAAAAAAAAAAGACTTCGTCTTTAAGGCCTTTAGAAAGGAGGCATCCTCCAGTTCCTAGGGAAGGAAGGCTTAAGAAGTACTCATTTTGTCCTGTAGGATGATATCCTCTTTGATGTGGTCACTGGTATAGGTGACCCTTGACTAACTTGAACACAGTAACATCTGTTCCATAAATATCACCTACAAAGAAAATCCTTACAACTTCATATTCCATGGACTCTACTCACCACATCCCATGACTCCACTAGTGGAATGCTTTTAAGTAAAGTTCCATATTCATTACAGTGGAAATCCAGGTGAGCTTTTCCTTCAGCATCTATTTGAGTAACAGCTACCACAGAAAGCAAATCCAGCTCATCTTCATAGTCCACAATTTTAAAAGTCTCAGGGAATAGATGGATAAGGCAGAGGAAAAGAGGGGCAAAATCCAGTTATCCAGTTAGGATTATTTCTATTTGTAGTTTAACTATTCTATTACTTATTTTTTAAATGTAGAAAGAGGAATGAATGGATGAGAGCATAGGTAGAAATGGGTCTCTACTTTCATGCCTAGTAAAGTCCTAAGATTCTGAAGACTGCAACAGTATCCTACCAATTCTGACAGACCAAATCTATGTAGATCTCAGCCAAAGTATTACTGAAATTCTGTTATGACAGCAAACTAGAACTTCTCCAAATTCAAAAGAGGTACTCAACTACTGCCTCTGACATGTGCTTTCACTGGTTTCCAGATAGGACTAAATATATGAAGTTCAGTTCTGAAACCCAAAAACTACCCACTTTCTTACCTCAGAAAAACAAAGGTCATTTCAAAAAGAACTGACAGCCTATCACACACTATTTATGACTCTATCGGCCTTTTTTTTTTTTTTTTTTTAATGCTTTTTGGTTTCCTAAAGAAAGCAAAAGTGGCTGCTTATACTTGAGGGAGAGTATTAATTAGGAACTGAAATCCAACCCACAGAACAGGACTGGGATGAGAGATGTTAGCTGGAAATGATTAATGATGGTAAAGTCTTAAGAGAGAAAAATCTAACCCCAAACTCTGTTTAAGAAAGTAAACCTGGGACTCCAACCGCCTCACAGGGGAAGCAGATCCATGCCAGCCATCCAGGGATGGACCACAGGAAGGGACATTTTGGCAGGCACAACAAGTTTCTTTGAACCACCACATACTAATCCTTCACTCATATTTGGTCAAACTGCTTTTACATCTATTTATATTTTCTGCCTTTACTACTCATGACATAAAAATTTATAGGGATTTATTACACATGGTTTCTTTTTATTTACTTTTTTGCCTTAATATTACCTTGGTCAAAATTCAAAGAGTAGACTTCTTGCCTGGGTGTAGTGATTTTATAGCCTTTAGTCACAACCCCTTTCAGCTTCTCTTTTATAGGCTAAAAGTTCTTGTTTTCTAATCTCTTGATGTACAGTATCTCTCTCTTTGTTACCACCTTCTCCTTGTTAATTATTTTTGCTACCTTTCAGTAATTTTAGTATGTCTTTCTCGAATATAGTTTTATACACAGGGAGCTTTCTGCTTTGTTCTCGATAGATTTCTATGGTTCAAAAAAATACATGTATTTATTTTATATATTTTTATATTACATATTTTATGTGTTATATATTTCATAAAATATATTGTATATATGTATATATATATACATAATACATTACATAATATACAAATGTACATATATATATCTTTTTTGAGAGTAGCCATATACTGGGTCACCTCCAACCTTTTTAAAAGATTTTCAAAAACTATCCTTAGAAGGCTACTCTAATGTTTCTACCTAGAAATGGTCACACAATCAAACAGTTTTCTGGTCCAGACAGATTTAGAATTCATGCAATGGTTATATATTTGAAGCATGATCACGGTCCGCTGATTTCATAAAAACTTTCAATGCCTCTTTAAAAGAAAGGGATAAAAATGTATTAGCTCAGTGACTGGCAATGTCAAGTTCAGGCCAGAGGCTGAACTAATTTATCACACCCTCACACCCTTCACGATGTCAAGTTCAGGCCAGAGGCTGAACTAATTTATCACACCCTCACACCCTTCTTCCCTGGCCCATGATCATTACCAAACATATCCATGTCTCGTAAGTAAAAAATAAAGCAAAAGCCATAAAGTCATCAGGATATAATTAAAGTATTTTCTATTAAATTTCCCTAGAAATGTGCACATTAATAAAACAAAACCATAAGCTAGCAGTGTTTTCAAATTATTTCAGTTCTAAGAACATTTCTGCAAATGAAATCTTACAAATAATTCCAGTATGAGAGGAGAGGATGATGGAGATGCACTGATTGAAATACCATGCACAATCCCACCAATGAAGTCTGCATGGAACTACTCACCCCCAACCTGTATCCCAGAGTCTGGGAAGCAGACTTGAAAAACCACAGGGCTAGTACACACTAGTTTAGTTTGTTATCTCTGGCTAAAGTAATACCTCTTGTTCTGGGTCATCATCCAGAAGGTTAAAATTTTTTTTCACCACCCGTCCAGAAGCTGTAACAATGGGTAAGTTTTCATTCTATCATATGGAGAGAAATAAAAAGATATGATGAATCCTTTTATGTGCAATAAATAGCAAAACTACTAAATTTTGTTAAACAACCAACCCTTATCCAACATCCACAATTCTTTCCTCTACTGAGAAAATTCTGAATCAGATTTCTCATCCTCCAATTAGTAAAAATACTTACTATAATAAATTATGGATAAAATACCAAAGTAGGCAAACAATAAATACAAAGGTTACAGATTTGCTACTTCACTCGCCCTTCTGATTTTTGCTTTAGTATAAGTACAGCAATGCTACAGTGGATCTGCTTTTGGAAATTTCTCTCTGCATAATTTTCTTCATGTTCTTAATTTGTACACTAAAGAAAAAGAACTATTTGGAGTTAAAACATGGTATGTGATTTTTAAAGATTCATATCTACCCCAACCTACTCTAAGTTTGCACAATTAATTAAACCCAAAGGTCGAAAATTCATCAATAAAAACTGAAAGAGAAACCCAGAAAAGAAACAGAAATTAGCAAAAGATAAGCTCAATATAATCAACTCTTTTCAAATCTCAGCTGTGCATGGGGCTAAGACCAGCTAACTACGTAGACAAAAAAATTCAGACTTTTATCGTGCTGCTCTTTTCTGCCACACTAAAAGACAAACACATTTGTATATTATATTCTCAAATAGAAAGACAGTGATATACAAAGAATTTTAAAGTACTCCTGGCTTACTTTGTTCTTCTCCCTGTTGGCCAAAATGACAAAATCTTCAGAGATCTGATGCTGGGCACTATTATTTTCTACTTCATTTAGCTTTAAAACTCTGAAAAGGGAAAAAAGAACCTAAGACCTCAACACGTCATCAAAGTGCCAAAGTTGAACTACTGAAATGAAACTCAACAAGTGAAAATTACAGGAACAACACTAAGTTAGTTCTCCTCTCCTCCTGTGGAATCTGAAATATTAATGTCTGATCACTTTAGGGTCCATAAACTACTTCAAATTCAGAGATTTTTGTTAAACAGAAAACCTGTGACAACAGGTACTCCTGAAGTAGGGAATGAAGCAGTTTCCTCAGGCCTAAGCCATCTTCCAAATTGGCTTAATGAAAGTTATCTAAAGAACCTCATCTTTTTCATCCTGCAATAGGTCTTTAACGTTTCAGCTTTAATGGTGGCATTATAGTAGATACTGGCATTTTTTACTTCTGAAGATAGAATGAGATATCAATGAACAACACTCAGAATTAACTATAAGGCAGACTGGATTAGCAACTAAACCTAAACTAAGAGTTTTCATAAAAGAGTAATATTTAAAAACTTCAATTTACTTAATACTTTTATCGTAGGATTATATTTAAAGATTTGGGTTTTCTGAGTGCAAATGGCCTAATGGATCAAGCTTACTAAGCAAGAGAAAAGAAAATAATTTGCTCACCACCCACACGAATCTGTTCACAGCATTAACAAGCTTCAAAAGCACAATGTTCTCAAAGCTTAAAGTCTAAAACGCAGGCAAAGAAAATAGCAGGGAGAAGCAGCTACTGTGGCCAGAGAGAGCCAGAAGCCTTAGAGTTTGCCAGAGGCAAAGAAATCAGATTATATTTTAAATTACTCAATTTGTTATCTTAAATAAAAAAGGGCCAATATTTAAAAGTGCCTATCTTCTAGAACCTGGCAAAAGGGCACACACTCTTTGTGGACCTTATTTTCTTAAGCTCAAACTACTATTAAAAGGTGGGTAATGGGGCACCTGGGTGGTTCAGTCAGTTAAGCATCCGACGCTTGATTTTGGCTCAAGTCATGATCTCAGGGTTGGGAGATCAAGCCCTGCATCGGGCTCCACACTGGGAGTGGACCCTGCTTAAAATTCACACTCACCCTTTGCCCATCCCTTCCTCTCTCTCTTAAAAAGAGAGCGAGCGAGAGAGAGAGAGAGAAAGAAAGGAAGAAAGAAAAAGAAGGAAAGAAAGAAAAGGTGGATACGCAACAAACATTAAAACCAAGGTTTACTAAAGCTGAACTACAGTTTTTAAGACTTCTTGTAAAAATTGATAATCTTATTTAATTAAGTCCCTTTATCTTCTTTATAATCAATCCAGAAAGGTAAACTAATTAGCATGAAGCATAAGAAATAACAGAAGGCAGACAATGTCTTTCTTATTCAAGAAATTTACTGAGCACCTACTCTGTGCTAGGCACTATGCTCAGTGCTGGGGTTATAGTCAGCAAAACAGACTCTTTCCCTGTCATTACTGAGTTGATGACTCCAAAGCTAGATATTTAAACAGATAATCAAACAAATAATTAATTAAAATTGCTGTGTTAGAGGAGGATAACAGTGCATTCAGTGAAAATATGATGGGGGAGCTAATCTAACAAGGGGTATCAGGCAAGGACTAGGTGCAAAGGAGATATTTAAGCTGGCGACAAAATATGAATAGAAGTTAGGCAAGAGAACAGGGAAGGGAAACACACTCCAAACAGAGCAAACAGGTCCCTGGCTGTCTGATGAGACAGCATTACTGAAATAAACTGAATGGGAGGAGAGTCTTTCAGACCATGCTAAGTGAATGAGGGTCTTTATCTCAGGAACAAGAAGCCATAAAAAGGTTAAGGCAGAATCCACTTGGTTAGGATTTTGTGTTTGTTAATGATTCTAAAAATCACTCTCACTGCTGAGAAGAAAACAGACTTAAAGAATATAAAAACGGATTCTTGGGAGTCCTGTAAGTAGACTATTACTATAGTCCAGGCTAGTGATGACAATAGTCTGACTCACGGGATATATGGGTGGGTGGGGGGGTGTGTGTGTGAGAGAGAAAATGCACATGAGTATATGTATATGTACTGAAGAAAGACAAAAAGGTAACAAAGTGTTCAGAATAATTCCAGATTTCTGGCATGAGACGTTTGGGCCAGGATATAAATTTTGGAGTTTTGGTGTATACATGATCTATGAAGCCAAGGGAATAAAAAGAATCAATAAGTAGAATCATGCAGAAAGGGAATGAAGAGTGAGAAGAAAATAGGGTCTAAATCCTGGGGATATCCAATAATTAAAGTCTGAGTAGAAGAGAAAGAACGTGAAAGGATACTAAGAAAGACACATCAAAGAGGGAGGAAAATATTCAGAACTGTGGTGTGAGGGAAGCCAAATGAACAGTGTTTCTTTTTTTTTTTTAAAGATTTTATTTATTTATTTGACAGAGAGAAAGACAGTGAGAGAGGGAACACAAGCAGGGGGAGTGGGAGAGGGAGAAGCAGGCTCGCCGCCGAGCAGGGAGCCCAATGCGGGGCTTGATCCCAGGACCCTGGGATCATGACCTGAGCCGAAGGCAGACGCTTAACAACTGTGCCACCCAGGCACCCCTGAAGAGTGTTTCAAGAAAGGAAAGGTCAACTGGATGGAAGATGTGGGTCAACAAAGCAAAACAAGGTTTACTTCAAACAACTCCTGTTCTAAAGCTGTCTTTTAGAACAAAGACAAATCATTTCTCTCCTTAATCCTGAAGAATTAAAACATGATGAGGACAAGTCAATCCGAATCTTTTACCCATATATCATCCATCAAAGAATTTATTTAAATGTAACATCTACAAAGAGTAATAATGAGGCTGAAAGAATAAAGTTTTCTGGATGCCAGTCTCTGAGGAAGCAAGCTGTAACAAGCTAATTATTTCTATAATTGAGTCAATAGTTAGCTGGCAAAAATAAACATGCCAATAAATGCTTCCAAAAGCTACTTTTCACTTTAAAGTAATTAATAAAAATACTCACTTGACCTGATTTGGGCCGACATGTATTATTCTACCAGAAGCATCAGGATGAAAATAGATCCAGTCAGATTCTAGAGAACAACATTCCATTTCTTGGATCCCATTTTTTGCCTGAAGTTGGGTAAAAATATTGAAAATAGAGATCAAGGGAAAATAAAATAAGTTTTCAAGTCTACCTCAGTCATAGATCAGTAAATCAAAGGTACAGGGCAGAGAAAATATCAACAGTTGAACTGGGATATGTCTAAGAATTGAATTAGGACACTCATACTTGAGAAATCCAGAACATTTACCCTGTACCTTACAATGAACTTAACAGTTATCATATCTCAAGCATCTAATTTGTATCAGATACTACAGTAGATGTTTTAGAGTCATTTCATTTAACAATATTCAAAGCATTTATTATATCCCCACTTTGATGAGGAAACTGATATACAAAAAGGATGAATCATTTGCTCAATGTTTTACATGTACTAAACAGCTGCTCTGATTCTGAGGTTCAAGAACTTGTTCCATAACGTAACTCTGTACAATCATGCACACACAGTTCCCTATAACTTCTTCCTCCCTTGCCTATCCCCAATAAACTGTCAAAAGGAGTGGTTAGCACAAAGATAAACATGCAACCCAATCCCAAATCTCAGAAACAGGTCATATAAATCTCCTTGGATAAGTCAGACATAAACCTCTAATAATGAAGAAATGGTCTAATACTGCTTAGCCTTCTAAGCAAGTAGAGATTTATTTCATGGTAGTTCATTTAGACACTAAAATAAAGAAAAGAAAAAGATACCTCCATGATATAGGATCACATACGCACATAAATGTTTTACCTTATACATAGGAGCACTAAGAACTAATATTAGCATGGATACAATGATTTCATTTAATTTCTTTAATTTCCCCAATGTAAAGTGAAGTGATACCACCTTTCCTATTAGATACTTATAAAACTTTTAAAATTATTAACTTATTAATTTCATTAACATATACTGACAGGACACTATTTTAAGTATCACATTAGGTGTTTGTACCTCGCATGAACTCAACATAACTCTTGCCATCAAAAAGCTCATAATCAAGAAGGGAGGCAGAAACATAAACAGAAATAAGAAGTGTAGAAAACAAAAACAAAAAGAAACAAAAAGTGTAGAAAACAAAGTAATCAAGCCATGCACAGGATATTAACAGCATCCAACCCAGGTGAGCAGAATATTAGAAGAAAAAACAGAGCTTAAACTAAGCCTTAAAGGATGAGCACAAAATGGCGAAAAAGAAGAGATGGCAAAACACAAAACACAGAAATGTTAATCCATATAGCATGTATATGTGTACACATGAATAAAAATTTTAACTTTGGCTCCTACAAAAGAAATATAATGACTAGGGAAATAGGTGGGGGCTATGTCACAAGTGCTTTGTTTGCCACGCTTTTAAAAAAATGGAATTTAACACATTTTCTGTATTAATGACTGTTTTAATTTTTCAGGAATTTTTATAAGTATTCTAATAATTTCTAATATGAATGGTGGTATTATTATATTGTACATATAAGGAAATCAATTTAATTAAACACCTTGGTTGCAACCACTGAAATGAATGTGTCCAAGATGGCATTAGCTCTGGATGCGTCTTTGTTTAAAATAAAACATGTACAGGGCGCCTGGGTGGCTCAGTTGGTTGAGCAACTGCCTTCAGCTCAGGTCATGATCCTGGAGTCCCAGGATCGAGTCCTGCATCGGGCTCCCTGCTCAGCAGGGAGTCTGCTTCTCCCTCTGACCCTCTTCCCTCTCGTGCTCTCTCTCTCTCATTCTCTCTCTCTCAAATAAACAAATTAAAAAATCTTAAAAAAAAACATGTACATACTTACACACATCTTTCTTTAGACAATTCCCTTTATTATAATTACTATTAACATGCAAAAGAAATATTATCTCTTTTCATGTTAAATATAAGGCAGCATTATTACCAGTTCTGTAGTTTTTGTTATGTGCTTGAATCCTAGATTTTAAAGCTCAGTTTAATAGAAAGCTATGAAACATTTTCTGAATTCTTCAGTTTGGCTGCGTTTTTGCGTTATCTACTATAGTTATGTGTTTTTGGGTTATCTACTCTTCCAGCTGACAGGTGGGGAAGTAATGGGCATAAGCACCCTTAAGTTAATGTCACTACAGCAAAGCTGTCTGGCAAAGGAACTGAAAACTTCCCCTGGCTTCGGCATTTAGGAATGCGTGGAAACGTAGATATGACTAGATGTTATAATCAGTTATTATAGAAGTTGAGTACTTGACAGGCATGCTTGATATAGATGTTGGAGGTCATTTTATACACACACACACACACAATAATATGTATTGTCAGTTCTTATATAAAAAGAATATGTACTAAAAATCCAGAATGTGAATCGTACAGCTTTTGACTGGATAGAAAAGTTAAGTGAAAGAGATGGTGGCTGAAGGTCCTGGTGGCTGAAGAATGTTCACTGGCTGAGAGGTAGACAATCAAATCACAGACTTGTCATGACAGGAAATAGCCCCTAGAGAGGCCACTCTAAAAGAAGATGTCCCTGGGCTGGGCCAAATAGGAGCTGTCACATGTGATACGTAAATGAAAAAATGAAAGGGGACAACATCCCCACAAAAGAAAACTAGAAGACACTAGACACAGTGTTCCCTGGCAGTGACATCAAAGGAAATAGATAAATGGACCCAAGATTGTGTTGATCTTTGGGGTGGTGAAGGTGGCCTGTGACTAAAAGCCACTGCGTACACAGTGACTGATTGAGCACGATCCTGGAAGAGATGGGTGTGGAATAAGCCGAGTCTGCCTCAGAAAAAGTAAGATCATTTGATATATCAAATATATAGGTTCCAGATATAAACTACACTAACTCGGCAATACAAAACAAAGGGGAACCCCTCCACCACTCCCTGTGTATTTGCTCTTTTGCACTTCTCTTAATCACTGTGCTTAACAGACTGCATCTTATTTATCTACATGTGTGCTTTCAAGAGCCTAAGCAACTTGAGGGAAGGGAATGTGTCCCCAGCCATGCCTGGCACACATTAGGCCCTCAATAAATTAAGTTAAATTAAATTAAATTAAATTAAATTAAATTAAATTAAATGATAAATCATGCCTAAATCATGTTCAAAAGAAAATTAATTCAAGGGGTAGAAATTTCTATTGTCTTACCATGTACCATTTCTTCCTATTCCGCCATAAGTAACTTAATAATGTTCTTGAGAATTCAAAGTGTTTCAATGCTTACATTGTGACCAACAGAGTTCTACCTGGTTCTGCTCTGGAAAGCTAATAGCAGCAAACCATGAAAAAACAGGACCAACCACACATTGCACCAGCAATTTCAGAGGAAGCCTGAACATACTCCATCAATAATTTCCACTATGGAGCTTCAGAGATGTTTTGCAGCAATCCCATGAGAAATCTTTGGTTTCTAAAAATTTTCAAATCTTAATGCTTTTAAATTCTGGGTAGTACACACAAGTGTTTTGTCATATTCTTTGTAGTCTTCTGTACCTAACAATGTTTACAAATTATTAACACAAACAAAAAGTAATTCTTAGGAATTCTTATTATAGAAGTAGAAAATAAAGAATTTCTGATACAAATTTACTACTAAAAGTCTGATCACTCATGATTTACCAAGGAATTATCTTTCAGAGCACAAATATGGAAAACTCCTTTCTGTTTCTTCTTATTAGGTGTGATGATGTAGTGCCAAGGATGGCCTCCAATCTGAAAAGCATTCTCCAGGGAGGATACCTCAAAGAGCAGTGGAGGTGTGTCTGCAGAGATGGGCAAAAGAAATTTATTATTTTCTCTGTTCTGGTAGCCTTGGAACATTCATGAACTGAATTCAACCCTTCTTTGCATGTACCATCTATAAATTTTCATTAATGAAAAATTACTATGTTCAGGAAATAAAATATAATCAGGAAAGAGGCTGATTGCTAAGAAAAGAGAAAGCTGGTAGGAAACAAATGCTGTTATGAGGTCAACTTTCTAGACATCTGTCTTCAGGCTATGTGTGACCTGCAGCTGAGTGGAGATAAAAAGTGGGCTGAAGGTGCTTATGATGGGAAAAAAATGACAAAGTACATCTAATAAAAGCAGCTGCTATTTACTAGGCATGTGTGTCTCAGACTCTGGGTTAGATACTATTTCCAACACTCATGACAATCCTAATAGGTAATTAAGTCTAATAATTCCTTCAGATGCGAGGAAGAGATCTTCCATATTCCAGACCAACAGGTTATACTTAGCAAACTTTATCGGAGCAGTCTTAAGATTTCCAGTGTAGAAGTGATAGTAGTCATAATGAATGTAACCACTTAGGATAGGTGGGTCCTGTCACAGTGGAAGCTTTATTAAAGGGTAGCCACTACTACTAGTATCATCTTTAGACAAGTTAACTAGTTTAGATACATCTAGTCAGTCACTGTCGTTTAGAGACTGACACCATAAAAGAAGTATCTGTTGGTGCCTCTTAGTCTTTTCGATAACAACTAATTTTAAGTAGAGCGAAACAGATGTACTCTTAGAGAAATGCATAAGTGGAATGTACTATAGCTTTAGAAGACCAGAATAGCGTTTGGACAGTACTTGGGAAACATCACAAAGCACACAGTCTGTTTCAGCAGGTGGTTAATCTACGACTCTTTTTTTTTACCCGTCTACCTTAAGAGTTTACTCTCTGGTTATGAGGCCATCACTGTCAGTAAAGGGGCTTGCGGTAGGAAGACCATTCACTCAAGAGTCACATGTTACATATAGAAGTGTGTACACTATTAGGCTTCTTCATAAGGACAATTTACCACTTGGTGCTATACATAAGGAGAAAAATAATGAAAAGTGAATTCACAAACTGACAGTCCTGAGAAAGAGACAAGTATAAACGTATTAAATATACTTAGAGTGCTTTAAAAAAAAAAAACTTCTAGGAAAAGAATAATATTCTTAATATATAAAGAAGTCTTTTTAGGGTGCCTGGGTGGCTCAGATGGTTAAGCGTCTGCCTTTGGCTCAGGTCATGATCCCAGGATTCTGGGATCAAGTACCACATCGGGCTCCCTGCTCTGTGGGGAGCCTACTTCTCACTCTGCCTCTCTCTCTGTCTTTTATGAATAAATAAATAAAATCTTAAAAAAAAAGTCTTTTTAATAAGAAAAATATGAACCCAACAGAAAACTGGGCAAAAAACATCAGTAAGTAAATTATGAAAGAAGTACAAACATCGTATGTGATAATATGGTAGCTATCAAATGATGATGAATGAGGAAAAAATACAAAAAGAAAAAATATAATTAGAGTTTGAATTTGGGGTTAAAATTTCAAGTAGGTATGTTGTAGAGAATATAAAATAGGTATGAACAATAGGGAAAAAAAAGTCAATCCAAAAAGATGTATTTAAAAAGAAACACTTTCTAAGCAGTTGCTAAAAATGGCCCCAAAGTAGCAGCAGGACTCTGTTCATCACAATTCTGATGGGTCCCCACTAACCTCAAGAGCCCGAATTTTGATCTCTAATACTATTTTCAGTTAAAGAGTCCTAGAAATTCTGACAGTAGCAGATTCCATGTCTTGTAGTGAGGAAATTTTAGGATAGGTCTGAACCATCTGGTTATTGCTATAAAGGATATTTTACAAGGATGTCAGTGTAGTATTAAAAGAATAAGAGAACCAAGAAAAGGAGCTCCTACTGGCTCGACTGTGGAGAGGCATTAAAAAGAAAATAATAATTATTATAATGCTCTGAGTCCGTGAAAGGTCAAGCAATGATACTTTAGATTTTTAATACAAATTGTACAAAATGTTGTATGGTTTATAAAAGAAGGGCTATAATAGGATAATGATTTTTCTGTAACTTTAAAATATAGGGAATATATCAGGCAAATGCAAATCAAAACCACGAGATACTGCCTCACACCTGTTAGAATGTCTATTACCAAAAAGATAAAGAACAATAGGATGTTGAGGAAAGGGAACCCTCATGCACCACTGCTGGGAATGTAAATTGGTGCAGGCACTATGGAAAACAGCATGGAAGTTCCTCAAAAAATTAAAAACAGGGGACACCTGGGTGGCTGTCGGTTAAGCATCTGCCTTTGGCTCTGGTCATGAATCAGGGTCCTGGGATCAAGTTCTGTGTCGGGATCCTTGCTCAGCGGGAAGCCTGCTTCTCTCTCTGCCTGCCACTCCCCTGCTTGTGCACTCTCTCTCTCTTTCTCTGTCAAATAAAGAAATAAAATCTTTCCAAAAAATAATCTAGTAATTCCACTACTGGGTATTTACCCAAAGAAAATGAAAACACTAATTTGGAAAGATGATATGCACCCCTATGTTCACTGCAGCATTGTTTACAGGAGTTCATAGAGACAGAGAGCAGATTGGTGGTTATCAGAGGGGAAGGGGTTGAGGGGGGTGTGAAATGGGTGAAGGGGGTCAACCGTATGGTGATAAATGGTAACTAGATTTACTGTGGATTTACGTAGATTTACACTATGTATCACTTCGTCCAGTCATTCTCACCTGGTCCTTCCTTAGATGTTATTTATTCTAGAGAATCATCAACTCGTTGTCCCTTACAAGGAGGACATGCACTATTTGCATTGTAAGACATGTGTAAAGTGGGACAGGGGTGCAGGTCCTAGCAAGAATAGAGACTGGAAAAGAAGCAAAGGAAAAAAACAGCTTTTTCTCTCATGGGGTCCCCTTCAATTTCTCGCTCATTCCCTAGTATGAGATTTTTATCCTCCTAATTCTTAAGGGGTGTTGAAGGGTGAAGGTCTCATCTTCTGTAACTTCTTCAGGCTGAAAGAGATTATAGATCCTACCTATTGAGAGGCATAAAAATCCTGAGCTATCTCATTACATGGAGGGTCCCTAGGAGCAGATTGTTTGAGTTGGAGGCACTCATGAGGCCTCATCATAAGAATGGGATGCTTCCTACAGTTTCCATTGACATAATTTGTCTGACATATTTATGCAGAGCATGTAATAACAATAGCTCCCTCAATAAAAAGACCTAGAATAATTATTATCATAGCTAGTAAAAGAAGTGGTTTCCATCAGGACTATCCATTTCCGCTAAACCAGGAAGAAATCCAATCACTGAGAGAATTAGAGGAGTCAGACGTTGCTTTAATTCGTACGTGCATGTCTGCTAAAACTTTGGATACGTTAGAGTTATCAGGGATATATACAAAATATTTAGTCTCAATATTAGCATAAGTTTTTTCTTGAGCTACAGTCAGGATGTCAAGGACCATTTGGTTTTGGAGGTCCACCTTTTGAATTTGTGGGTGACTGCATGTTGGGTTTGGTTAAAGGTGGCCACTATATGCTTGGCTAAAGCCTCTGTTTGTAATTTTACAGCTACAGAGGAAGCTCCTGGGAAAAATATGGCTAAGGGATAAAACCATCAAGAATCCCTCTTTGTCTAATGTCTAGCCTTGGTAATATCCTAATTATGAGGAATCGCTCGCAAGTGGGAGATAACTTGTCCTGGGAAAAATTGAATTATTATGCTGTACACCTGAAACTAATCTAATGTTATATATACGTATCAATTTTATCTCAATAAGAAAAATAGGTAGGTAATCTTAGATATTTCTTCTATTAAATAAATGTTTAAAAAATTTAGATACATGTTAAGTGAAAATACAAGGTACAGAACAGAATATATGATATACTACATTTGGTGTAAGAAAGAAGGTAACATTTAACGAACACATACACACGTTTGCTTATTTTTATAAAAACAAACAATAGAGGGATAACCTTGAAACTAAAAATAATGATTACTTCTAGGGGCAGGGTAGGGTAGGGGGAAGGAAGTAACAGAATAAAAGGACTATATATGGAAGCAAAATTTCTCAGACAATATCTTTTTATATAGTTTTGACCTTTGAAATATATACATTTTACAACTTCAAGAATAAAGTCAAAGGGAAAAAACAAACCTAAAATTGAAAACAAACTAAAACAAATGAATCTAAATACATAAAATTGGTAACCTAATCATACAGAAAAATAATTTCAAATAATCTTTGAACACATTACTTCTGTAGTACACTTATTGGGCTGTACACTAAGAACAAAAGGAACTGTAGAGAAATCTTAACCTTCAAAACACTATACTTTAGTTTTTAGTAGTAGCACTGATATGGCAATTTTAAGATTATCACATATATAATAGGATAAGATTTTATTAGGCATCAAGTTAAGTGGGAGCCAAAAGAAATACAAATATAAAAGCAAAAAACAATTAAATTGGAAATATGAGAATGAACTAATGAATTTTTGTTTTAATATATTTCCCAGCTCTGTTCACCAAAAAATAAAGACAGCCAATTGCATTGAGCACAACTAGATCTTGGTCTGTGTTGTGCGTTGAACTGTGTCCCTCAAAAAGATAAGTCAAAGTCCTAACCCCTAGTATCTGTGAATGTGACCTCATTTGGAAACAGGGTCTTTGCAGAGATCATATTGGATAAGAGTGGGTCCTAAATCCTATGACTGGTGTTCTTATAAGGAGAGAGAGAGAGATTTGAAGACAACAGAGTAAAGAAGAGCATGTGAAGACAGGCAGAAATGGGAGTTATACTGCCATAAACCAAGAAAGGCCAAGGACTGTCAGCAACAACCAGAAGCTAGAAGAGGCAAGGAAGGATTCTTTCCTAGAGTCTTCATAGGGAAGTCATCTCTGCCAACACCTTAATTTTAGACTTCTAGCCTCCAAAACTGTAAGAGATTAAATTTTTCTTGTTTAAAGCTACCAGTCTGTGGTGTTACAGCAGCCCTGGGAAACTAACACAGTCAATGATGATGTTCTCTACTGAAATGGCTCCTTGTCAGATCTAGGACACGGAAAGTAAAAGATAAACCTGCAATATATTATTGTTCCAGAAAACAAGGAAATTCTCCAAGACTACTGGGGTGTGTCAAAGTGGAGTTCTCACTGGCCAAATTTGGGGCAATCTGAACATCATTAAGAATAATGACTGTAACTACATAACTTTGAATAAAAAAAAAAATCCTTGAGTCTATTGTGATTATATATGTGTGCTGACCTCTGAAATATTCTGCCACATTGGAAGTGACTATTATACCAACTCCTTGTTCAAATATTGATAATTAAAGAGAAGGAATAAGTATATACTTTGACTTTTTAGGAGGAATTATAGTTCTATTCCTAGGCGACAAGTGAAAGTCTTTATTTATGGAAATATGTTAGTTATTAAAGGTAGAAGGAATGACAGAATCCTTCAAATGGCCATTCTGCCACCCCAAATGACATAACTGATTCAGGCAAGAATCATTAATAGTTACAGGAATATTCTTATGTTTTCTGTAATCATAGAAAATTAAAAACAACCTACATGTCCAGACTAGTGAACTGGTTCAACAAATTTAGAGTTCATCAATAAAATGGTATATAAGTCAAGTTCTTCAAATTTCAAGGAGCTGCATGTGTACATGCATACACAAGGAACCACAATGTAAGCACCACATTCAAAAAGTATTACAAGATATATAATGAAAACTAAATCTTCCTTTCATCTTATCCCTCAGAGGTAACTACTATTTATCAGGTTTTTGGGTGTCCTTCCATATATTCCAAGCAAATCTAAAAGCATGAACTAGGGGTGCCTGGGTGGCTCAGCTGGTTAAGCGACTGGCTTCGGCTCAGGTCATGATCCCAGGGTCCTGGGATCAAGGCCCGCATTGGGCTCCCTGCTCCTCGGGGAGCCTGCTTCTCCCTCTCCCTCTGTCTGCCACGCCCCCTGCTTGTGCACTCTCTCTCTCTCTCTCTCTGTGTCAAATAAATAAGTAAAATCTTTAAAAATAAATAAAAGCATGAATTAATGAATTTTTGTATATGTATAAAAAAGTATACTTATATGTATACTTTTAACATGTGAATATGAATTCTTTATACAAATGAAGCTTTTCATATACAATTTTATACTCCTTTTTATCACTTGGTAATATATATTGGCAATTGCTCTATACCAATGCAAAAAAAAGGTTTTTTTAACAATTAAATTTATGATACAGCCAAACAATGAAATAATATTAGTGCCACCTACCAATGTACATGTTATTTCCAATCACTTGCTATTAGAAACAATGTACTTGTACACTTGTCATTTTGTACACATGTGAACATATCTGGTATAAATTCCTAAACATGGAATTGTTCAAGGAATATATACATTTAAAGCTTTGATACATATTGACAAACTGTCCTCCAAAAAGGACCCCAATAATAAATGAATATACTGTTACAGACTTCTATACTTTTAACAAACACTGTTATATAACTTTTTGATATTTGAGAATCCGAAAAGATATATCTTATGATAATTTTAATTTGCACTTCTCTTATCAGTGATGTTGGGTTTCACCTTCCCCTAATTAAAAGCCAAAGAAGACTCAGTATCCCCAGGCCTTCAGTTCAATGAATAACTGATAGATTTTGTTAACACCTATTCAATAGCAAGGAATATGCTATATAGAAGTAAAATGAATTCAGTTTATAATTAAATTATGAGAAAACATCTGGATGATTACAATAAATAACTATTTATATGACCACTTATTTCTTAAGGTGAAAAAAATGCTATATAGTAGCCATACCTGTGATTTTAATATTACAAGGAATGCCAAAAGGAGCCTCTCCTACAGTTCCAGCAGTCCCACCCCATCTGCATGCACACCCTAAGTCAAGTTTCTGTTGCATGAACTAAAAACAAAACAAAACAAAAACGGTGGCTTTAGCACCTACTTATTCGCTGTCTGAGGAGAGAAAAAGTCAAATTACATGTATATGACAGAGAAAATATCTTTATTGACTCAAGGCGTTTCTGTTTATCTTCCCTCCCCTCTTTTAAAAGTTACTTTGTCTTTCTGCATTTGTACAGTTTTGTAGAGTTGAAATCTACACAAGTGCCTTATTCTAAAAGCATTTCATTAAAAAAAAAAAAGTCATACCTCAGTCCAAACCTCGAGTTATTATAATATGGCAAATTTCAGTCTTCTCTACCTGTTCAGTGATGGCTTGGAAGCTATAGAGTCTGACCAGTCCTGAGCTGTACATCACAATTAGTATTCCATGAGACAAGGTAGCATCTGTAACGTTCCCGAAAATCTGAGGGGAAAGGTAGATATCACCTGAGAAAAGACCAGAAGGCCAATCCTCTGAGTGTTCACAGTGGTTTGTGCATTTGCTTAACATTCAGGTCACCACTACAACACTGCTGCCTACCATATAACTTAATTATAATTTAGAGACTTGAAATTAAAGTGTCATTAGGGTCGTAGGCCACTAGAGTCTCAAAGAGGAACACTAATGGAGTGCAGCACTTAACCCTCAAAATGAAACAAACTGAGGGTTCTAGAGGGGAGGGGCGTGGGGGGGTGGGTTAGCCCGGTGATGGGTACTAAAGAGGGCACGCTCTGCATGGAGCACTGGGTGTTATACGCAAACAATGAATCATGGATCACTACATCAAAAATAAATAAATTAAAAAAAGAAAAAAAATGATTCAGCAGCATTCATTTGCTTCATCCATTTGCTTTGTAGTTTTGTCAATATCTTTTAATAACACATCCTATTCCTTGTGGACATAGGCATACACTGAGACCGTCTAATTCTACCATGCGGGATATGTGTTGTAGAGTAAATATAGGGACCTATTCTTCATGCTAAAATGTTATTTATAAAGAAACTTATTTTTTAGCTAAAAGTGAAAAGATTGGATGTAAGAAAGTACTTCTAATGAAAAACAGCCAACTCCAGAATTTTACCATTACTTTGCTCTTGAAATATCTAACACTGCTTGATTTTTCAGTCATATAAAAACCAAACGTGTTAAAGACCAAGCAAGCACCTACAGAGACATTGAGCCCGGCTAGCCCTGAGTACCCTGAGTAAGGCTCTGGCTCTTCGCCCCCTTTCTGGGCTTGTTCTGTGCACCGGGTTCTGTCCTGGTCCCCCACAGAGCTCTGATAAAGTAACTTGATTCTGCGCCTATTTTAATATTTAACAAAAGCCAACATAGACAAATATTCATAGCAATGAAAGAACAAGTGGAAATCAAGTGAAAATCTGTTTCTGTTTCTACTCAAGACAAATTACTTAGTGAAGATTTACTACCCCAAAGATCAGCTTAAAGTACATGTTGAACTTCGCCCTGGGTGGTCTCTTATACATGGGGAGTAGAGGGTACACTTCAGCTCCAACTAACCCTAATCAAAACCACATCCCTCCAATTATTATCATAGCAATCTGAGAGTAAAGAGAAACAATTGATGACTTAGTTAACTGTTCATTTCTGTTGTAGACTGTAATAAGCACACACAACTACTTCATCCACAAGGACAAAGAAAACAGTTAAATTAGTAAATTGTGTTTCTTGTCATCTCTTAGAAAGATAATTATGCTTTGCTTCGACCTTGACTAGCTCCTGATTTTTTACTTGCTGATCCTTGTTTCCCACTTTGAAAAGGAGGACCCGTGTAATTCAAACATGTTTTCAAACAATGAGTGCTCTAATATAGCAGCCACTGCATCTTAAAATTTGGTTCACACTTTGGAGTCAAACCCAGGTTCTAATTCCAGCTTCTCCACTTACTTGGGATTTGGGTAGCTACTTAACTTCCTAGTTGAACCCACTATATGTCACAAAGTTATAAACTACTCAAAGTGCCTGGCACAAAACAATGAGTAGGTAACTGATACTACTCACTCGCCTTTATGTAGCTTAGTATAATATGCTTATGCAAAATTTTTTTAATATGTTCATCTTATTTGCTAATGACTCTTAGTGGACCCTGAAGATATGACCTCAGTAATACCTGAAGTGCGTAATTAAAGACCAGTAGAATAGACCAATAAATAACTATCCACCTAGACTAAGTAACAATTTTTTTAATGGAAAGTAGGAGGCTATTGATTCTTTTACTCAAAGGAAATATGTCTTTTCTTTCCTCCAATATAACAGACCATAAATCAAGAAAAATGACAAGAATAAAACCTATAACTGAATGAGTTGGAAAACTCACATATTTAATTATATGTCTTATTTATGTAACATAAAACAAATTTTAGATCTACACTTTGCAATTAAAATGATTCATTTTGTTGTAGCTTTTCATCTTCCTAATGGTCCTTTTAACAAGCTTTGGAATATCCCTCTAAAAAAAACACCTTACTCATTTCATAATTTTATAAAGTAGTGGTTTGTTAATGACACCAAAGGTATTCAACACTTCCACTTGAAAGGCATAAGAACATGCAGAAAGATGAAAGGATGATTAGGCTTCCTTCCTAAATGAAACATTCTCATGTATTTTGATATGAAACAAACTAGATCAGAGAGCTTTTTACAGTCAGGGGAACATTTGCAATCAAAACACCTAATAAACAAACATACATTGACATCACATCTTATCAAAAAATTAATACTGAAATAAAATAAGTAAGTTCTTACCTTCTTGTTGATCTCCAGAATCCCTATAAGTGAAAAAGGTAAAACATGGAACACTGCAAGGTACAGCAAAACAGGCTGTTGAATGCCTGCCTAAAAGGAAAGATTAAATTACAGGCAGCTCTCAAAAGAATTTTAGAAACACTATTTTCGTGAGTTGAAAACATCCATCTGTCCTAGCAGTTATGTGGATGTTTTCATGAATTGAAAACATCTACCTACCTTGCAAAGTTACTTACACAGGAAAGCATACATGTTCAAAATATGTCCATTAAACCTTCAGCCCTTCAATACACATACACATACACAAACAAATCTATAAAACTAAACATAGGGGCGCCTGGGTGGCTCAGTCGTTTAAGTTTCTGACTCCTGATCTCAGCTCAGGTCTTGATCTCAGGGTCATGAGTTTAAGCCCCGCATCAAAAATAAGTAAATAATAAAAAAAAATACAAATAAATAAACATTAACAATAAACATTTCTTAGCAACAAAACATATTTTATATACTATACAACAAAAACATTTTATATACTGCATAATAAAATATATTTTCTGTATTTTTTTTTTAAGATTTTATTTATTTATTTGACAGAGAGAGAGAGAAAGCGAGAGAGGGAACACAAGCAGGGGGAGTGCGAGAGGGAGAAGCAGGCCCTCCTCTGACCAGGGAGCCCGATGCGGGGCTCAATCCCAGGATCCTGGGATCATGACCTGAGCCAAAGGCAGACGATTAACGACTGAGCTACCCAGGTGCCCCTATTTTCTGTATTATAATATAAATTAATATAGATTTCTGGTAGATATCATATCTGATTGTGTCATTATTATACATATATTATTTTGTTAATATAATATAAATTATGTTATAAATTGGAATTCTAATAAAGAGCCAAAAGACATAGTTATCATAGTCACATCATCTCAAAGTAGAATTACCCTGACATGTCTATGTGAAATGAGAAAAAATTATCAATAGTTAAAGCTTGAATGATTTCTCTGCTTGAAAAAGATAACTCTCTTACTTTGAGGAACAAGGTTCTGTCAATTTCTTTCCACTGTGGAATGTAAAATAATCTGTTGTACTTCCCCAAGGCAGCTTAAACGGTATTTATTAAGTTTATATCATTTTCTTAACTTTTCTACCATTCTTCAGAAATCCAAGATCATTAGTTCTTTCCTAACAAATTTGCAGACAATTTCCTCTGGAAACAAACAAATTCCTCATCTTATTGATGTTTAAAGATTTATTTATTGATATTTAAAGATGTCTACCTGCCGGGCCAATACTGAGCCTTTGTTTTGAGCTGACTTGACTGCAATGACTTCTTGAGGAGTGTCCCAGCTCAGGTATCTTGTAAAAAGATGACGAGAAGGTTATTCATTTCGGTAAGTTTCCTTATAATCAAAATATAACAGATATTTCATAAATAAAGTTCTTTATTTAAATTATAAAAGCAAAGTAATTTATTTTAAAAAAGAAATAACTTAAAAATTCCCTCTACATCTTTATATGGATATATTCCTATTAAATATATATATATATTGAATTTTAATCCTTCTAGAGTGTCAATAAATAAAAACTGATCAAACATATTCAAAACTTAGAAAAAAGACCATTCCTACTTTAAAACGGACATTAACATTACAAAAAGCATTAAAAATGTTACCTTCACATTCTACATGCATATATTTACTCCAAATATGTCTATATAAAATATATAAAACTACTAAGTTAAAATAACGGCTTTTAGGAACACCCAGATGGCTCAGTCAGAATGTGACTCTTGATCTTGGTTGAGCCCCCACACTGGGTGTAGAGATCACTTTAAAAACAAAACAAAACAAAACAAAACAGTTCTTAGACTGTACTAGGCAGGTGATTTAACTGAAACAGACTAGCCTTCAGTAAAATCTATCATGAAATGCAACCTACATATAAAATACTATTCGCAGAACATATAAAACACTATTTATAGAAGGGAAATTTGAAAAGGGTGGGGGACAGATATCTGCCAAGGTTAGTTACTTATGAGTGATACAAAAATAAATGATAAAAGGTCTGTATCCTCAGATCTTCAAGGGTAGTCATAAGGAGAGAAAAAAAGAAAAGGTTTATAAATTGAGATCCAGATATACAATGGGAAACTTAAAAAAAAAACAACCCAAAACTTGTAATTTCCTGGGCCACAAGTCACAAATTTGTATATATATTTATATTTTATATATTTTAATAAAATTTTGAGTAATAAAGTCACAGTTAATACCTGAATTTGCAATATGAAGCAAGATATATTTTCTCAAGGACTTTTCCAGTAGTTGCTGATATGCGAAACAGCCAATTATGAGCAGTCAGTGCTATGAGTGAAGATTTATAATCTGATGGATTGGGAAGTATTTCCCCCTAAAAAATACAAGATGTAAAAATGAAACTGGTTGGTCATGAACAAATCTACAGAAATCTATGTCCAAAAAAAACAGCTAAAACCTTAAAGAAATAGATAAGTAAACCAAAGATGAAATATTAAATGTACAAATAGAGAATTAAGACAAGGAAAGATGAAATTGTAGGTAATTATTTTTATCAACTTATTAAGTGAGTTTATTCACATAAAGTTCTTAAACAGTACCTCAAATAATTTCTTATTATTTATCATTAAATAATTCAATAAATGTGAGCCAATCATCATCACAACACAGTAGGAGTGTTACTAATGATGCTGCTGTGATAACAATGATAATAACAGTTCTTAAAACCATGTATAATAGCATCAGCGTAAGTCACCTGCCAGAAAAGATGTTTCTTGGGGAACCTGGGTGGCACAGTCAGTTAAGCATCCAACTCTTGATTTCAGCTCAGGTCATGATCTCGGGTGGTGAAATCAAGTCCCACATGGCTCTCCATACTGGGCATGGAGCCTACTCAAGATTCTCCCTCTCCCTCTGCTCCTCCCCCTCCACAAGGAATAAATGTTTCTTTATTCCAAGACCTGTTTTCCTTTTGATAGAAGTCAAAATGGCCAAAGGACAAATTGTTCCATGATTTACTGTGGCTCTACTATAACTCCAAATGAAAGCTAAAATGCAGAAACAAGGCAGCCAAAGAAAAACAGAAGATAGGCCAGGTTTCAAAGAATGAAGGGGGGGGAATTGGAGGGGGAGATGAACCATGAGAGACTATGGACTCTGAGAAACAAACTGAGGGTTCTAGAGGGGCGGGGGTGGGGGGATGGGTTAGTGAAGAGGGCATGTACTACATGGGGCACTGGGTGTATGGTGATTAACATAACACGATAATAAATAAATAAATAAAGATATTCTCTGTCGCCAATGAATTATCCCCCAAAAAGGGAAAGAGCTACTTGGGCATGCCTGCCACTGAGCACCTGCCACAAGGTGGAAGTCAAAGGCAGGAAAAGAAAGAGAAGCAAGGAGTTCTATTTTGATTTGTGAAATAAAAAGGAAGTTCTCTCTTTTTTAAAAAAATTTGAGAGAGAGAGCAGCGCAGGGAGGGGCAGAGTAGAGAATCTTAAGCAGACCCCTCATTGAGTGCACAGCCCCACTCAGGACTTGATCTCACCACCCCAAGATCATGACTGAGCTGAAACCAAGATTCAAATCCTCAACTGACTGAGCCACTCAGGTGCCCCTAAAAAGGAAGTTCTAAGAGGAAAGTTAAGGATAGGAAAGTTGGAATTAATCTAGTATTCAGGTAGGCTGAAAAGTGAATAGAAAAAAATGAAGGCATAGTTATTTTATATATGCTTTTAAAGATTTGTCTTCCCTTTCAAATGTTAGGGAAAGAAACAAGGTTCTTGTGTTTGTTTCTTGAGAGAGAGTGTGTGTGTGTGTGTGTGTGTGTGTGTGTAAGCTTATTAACTACTAGAAGTCTTACATTAAAATCACATGCAATGATGTAAATATTTTTATTCTATGGTGTCTTATGTAAGTATCATCTCCTGGAGATTCTTTTTTTTTTATTTTATTTTATTATGTTATGTTAATCACCATACATTACATCATTAGTTTTTGATGTAGTGATCCATGATTCATTGTTTGCGTATAACACCCAGTGCTCCATTCAGTACGTGCCCTCTTTAATATCCATCACCAGGCTAACCCATCCCTCCACCCCCTCTCCTCTAGAACCCTCAGTTTGTTTCTCAAAGTCCATAGTCTCTCATGGTTCATCTCCCCCTCCGATTTCTTCCCCTTCATTTTTCCCTTCCTACTATCTTTTTTTTTTTAACATATAATGTATTATTTGTTTCAGAGGTACAGATCTGTGATTCAACAGTTTTACACAATTCACAGTGCTCACAATAGCACATACCCTCCCCAAGGAGATTCTTTTTTTTTTTTTAAAGATTTTATTTATTTATTTGACAGAGAGAGAGAGAGCACAGGTAGGCAGAGCGGCAGGCAGAGGGAGAGGGAGAAGCAGACTCCCCGCTGAGCAGAGAGCCCGATGTGGGGCTCGATCCCAGGACCCTGGGATCATGACCTGAGCTGAAGGCAGACGCTTAACGACTGAGCCACCCAGGTGCCCCCCAAGGAGATTCTTAATTAAAAAAATATATACTATTTATACCTTGCCTATTAAAAAAGAATTTGAAATAGCATGTAATAGGTTTGAGCTATTTTCCTAAACCAAAAGTTGTATTTCACACACTGTCTCAGAAAAACAAGGGTGCTGATTTAAGCGTCGTTTCACATCAGTATGTTAACAACAATATATGCTTCTCAGTTTTTCTTAATGGAAAATCTTGCTTAACTTCAAATGAGAAGAAAATGGTAAAAGAAGTGAGAATAGGAACTAGGTTACTAGAAACTTTATTTTTGCAAGGATTGCTTTAAATTTTTGGTGATTTTGTACTGGTGTCTTCAAAACTTTTCTCAATTAGGAAATCTGTCTTCCTCCTCCCCCCAGCAAATGAAAATGGATTAAAAGGCTTTAGGGATGCCTGGGTGGCTTAGTCGGTTAAGCATCTGCCTTCGGCTCAGGTCATGATCCCAGGATCCTAGGATGGAGCCCTCCATCAGGCTCCTTACTCAGTAGGGAGCCTGCTTCTCCCTCTCCCTCTGCCTTCTGCTCCCCCTGCTTCTGCTCTCTCTCTGTCTGACAAATAAATAAAATGAAAGAAAAGAAAGGAAAAGAAAAGAAAAGAAAAGAAAGAAAGAAAGAAAAGAAAGAAAGAAAGAAAGAAAGAAAGAAAAAGAAAGAAAGAAAGAAAGAAAGAAAAAGAAAGAAAGAAAGAAAGAAAGAAAGAAAGAAAAAGAAAATAGTTATTAAAAAAAAAAAAAAAGGCTTCAGAGGGCACCTGGGTGGTTCAATCAGTTAAGCGTCTGCCTTTGGCTCAGGTCATGATCCCAGAGTCCTGGGATCAAGATCAAGTCCCATGTCCAGCTCCCTGCTCAGCGGGGAGTCTGCTTCTCTGCCCCTTCCCTGGCTCATGCTCTCTCTCTCTCACTCTCTCAAATAAATAAATAAAATCTTAAAAAAAAAATAAAAGGCTTTAGATGTTGGAGGCACAACAGTTATTTTCAGCTCTCAATAAGAAATCAGGGAAGAAAACATAGATTTAATGTCTCTTTTTAAAGAGAATAAGTGTCGGGTGCCTGGGTGGCTCAGTTGGTTGGGCGACTGCCTTCAGCTCAGGTCATGATCCTGGAGTCCCAGGATCGAGTTCCACATCGGGCTCCCTGCTCAGCGGGGAGTCTGCTTCTCGCTCTGACCCTCTTCCCTCTCGTACTCTCTATCTCTCATTCTCTCTCTCTCAAATAAATAAATAAAATCTTAAAAAAAATAAAAATAAAAATAAAAAAAAGAATAAGTGTCTAGGGAAAAAGAAAGCAGCAGCTCAGGAAAACTGCAATTTATATAAAAACAACAGTATTTAAAAAGAGAGAGAAAGAATTTTAATAGTAAATTCAAAGCATAGCCTCTTATCCTTTAAACATTATTTTTGGTCCCATATTGTAAGTTCTATTTTTCCTAAAAAAACAATCAGCCAGATTCAGAGACCTGATTAATTTGCTGCAGTATTTCCTAAGTGCTGTTCTTAAAACACTGATCCACGGAAAACCAGTACGTAGAAATATACCTCAAAAAAGGAAGTCCTATGATCAAAAGAGTTTTGGAATATGGTTGTCAAAATCACCATGAACATTAGTATTATTGCATAGTATTATTAAAGGCTCTAAGAAGTAATTATATAAATAAATTTGTTTCACCTTTTAAGCTCAGAATATCCCACTTATTTTGTCTACAACTCAATGCTCCCAACTCCTCTAGGAAGGATAAGATGTTTTCATTTTATTAAAACAGTCTTCTGAAAAATACACACAGGGCAACGCTGGTCTGTCTTGTGGAATGAGTTTAGCCTATTATTTTATTTTTTATTAATTATTTTTTAAAGATTTTATTTATTTATTTGACAGAGAGAGACACAGCGAGAGAGGGAACACAAGCAGGGGGAGTGGGAGAGGGAGAAGCAGGGTTTCCGCCGTGCAGAGAGCCCGATGCGGGGCTCGATCCCAGGACTCTGGGATCATGACCTGAGCTGAAGGCAGACGTTTAACAACTGAGCCACCCAGGCGCCCCTATTATTTTTTGTTTTTGACTTATTATTTTCCTAACAAGATTCATGAAGGAAACTAACAAGAATTTACTTTCAAAGAGCCATGTAACATAATTGTTGCCTAAATTAATATTTTATTTTGATAGAATGATCTCTTAAATCAGAATGATCTCTTAAACATTGAGAATAACTCTAAACTACCTTACATTGCTTATAAAACTTTTAACCAGTTCATAACTTTTTCCAGTTTTCAAAATTTACAAATGGCATCAAATTTTTAAAATACATTCATAATATTAATGTACAATTTTTAAAAATAGAAATTATTTCACAAGGAAAAATAAGCAAAGGATATACTCTCTTCTTGACTCCTTTCAAGAGTCAAGAATCACTATGATATTTAAGATTTATTCCTTTTTACATATATTAACAATAATCAGTTCTTTTAGGCTAAAAATGTGTTAGAAACAAATACTCTAAAAACAAATCTTACCACTGGGCATTCCCATAATAATGCATCCTCTATTTTTTCTGATTTGGAACATTTTGGCATTTCATAAAGTTTTCTTGGCTCTGATGCAATGCTGGGAAAAAAGAAAAATGAGCAATTATTCTTCTTGATAACTGAGACAGTGTTTGCTCAGCTCTGAGTGACTTTTTTCTTTCAGAGATTTGGAATACCAAGATATAACTTGCTATTTTGCTTTCCTGTTCTTTTTTTTTTTTTTTTAAAGATTTTATTTATTTATTTGACAGAGAGAGACACAGCGAGAGAGGAAACACAAGCAGGGGGAGTGGGAAAGGGAGAAGCAGGTTTCCTGTGGAGCGGGGAGCCTGATGCGGGGCTCGATCCCAGGACCCTGGGATCACGACCCAAGCCGAAGGCAGACGGTCAACCAACTGAGTCACCCAGGCGCACCACTGCTTTCCTTTTCTTAACTAAATGTTAACGTTTTTTTTCTGATCACAAAATTCACAATAAAATTCATAGAAAATCTGAAAAATAAAGTAGATTATAATAATAGAAGATTACAAAAATAACCATTATTAACATTTTGGTTCATTTCCTTCTGGTTTTCCTTTATATACATATACTTACTTGCAGATTATTTTCCAAAATTGGATCATAATGAATTCCTTCTTTACCCTTGGACATTTACTATGAATATCTCTGCTGAATTCCAAGGGGTTCATAAACGTTATTTATTTTTTTTTTTTAGGATTTCATTTATTTACTTGACAGAGAGAGACACAGTGAGAGAGGGAACACAAGCAGGGGGAGTGGGAGAAGGAGAAGCAGGCTTCCCGCCAAGCAGGGAGCATGATGCGGGGCTCGATCCCAGGATCCTGGGATCATGACCTGAGCTGAAGGCAGACGCTTAACGACTGAGCCACCCAGGCGCCCCATAAACTGTTATTCTAATACTATAAAATGAAAATTAGATAAAGAATCTCTTTATTTTAGGATGAAAATTAGTGGGTAAAAAAAGGAAATACCTTTGCGGGGTTTTTACTCCCAAATTCCCTTTCAGAAAGGTTGAACAAGTTTGTACCTCTACCAGTACTGAACACAAGATTTTTTATGTGAAAAATAGTCCCCTACCTTTAGTTTATACTTCCCTGATTACTACTGAGATATGATCATAGATGTTTTCCTTTTTTTTTTTAACTGATTAACTTTAAAATTAAACTACTATTTAGAAACAATTTTCGGGGCACCTGGGTGGCTCAATTGGTTAAGGGTCTGCCTTTGGCTCTGGTCTTAATACCAGGATCCTGGGATAGAGCCCCGTGTCAGGCTCCCTGTTCAGTGGGGAGCCTGCTTCTCCCTCTCCCTCTGCCAATCCCCCCTGCTTGCGCTCTCTCTCTCAAATAAATAAAAATATTTAAAAAAAAAGAAACAATTTTCTGAGTGATAATTTTATTCACTTTTGATGTTCTCTGATTCAAAGGTTTAAACCAAACAGAATTTCACAGGAATGAAAGCAAGCTCAAACTTCTAAACTCTGGGTGATTCTAAACTATGGGTAAAACACCCCTGAATGCCATAGTAAAGAACTCCAACTACTTATTATTAGAACACCAACCAATGCCACCTACTCAGATTTAAATTTTTTTTAATTAAAGCAGATACCTCTAAATTGGGTAAGTTATGAAATGGGCATTAAATGATACCAAAGAATTATTACTAATTTCGTTAGGTGTGGTAATGACATTATGATCATATAAAGAAATGTCCAGATATCCACTTCCAACATGACAGCATGAGGAGCTCTATGGGCATGCTCTCCAGGAAAACTGGTGAAAACTATAAAAGGACAACTATTTAAAGTCTCTGGAAATGGTCCTAGGGGCATACAGCAAACAAAGAAACATTTATTCCAAAAAATCTACTAGAGTTCAGTAAGAATAGTGAGAGTCTATGATGTCTGATCTAGGATGTGCTCCTTCCATCTGTTCTTAGCTCAGCAAGATGAAAACTACTCCAGACTGGTATAGCCAAGAGCACAGGACTCCCTCTACCCCCAGCTCCCAGTGGGCCACCTTCTAGGGGGACCAGGATGACAGCACTTCTCATGTAGCTCCCAACTGCTGGTTGTTGGGGCTGAGTCCTGGGTGAGTGTAGTCAAAAAGTAGGGCTCCCTTCTTCCACCTAGCCCCAACTCTACCTTGGGCGTGGCATGCCTAAGAATACAGAGGCTCTGATTACCCTTAGCCCACCTCATAAAGCAGTGGTTCCACATTAAGAGAGGCAAGAAAATCTGAGGCTATGTTTGCTTTAACTCCAGGTCATCAGCTTTTAGAGTAGGGAGTCACTCAGAGAGAAGCATGCCATTGATTCCCCACCCCCACCCCAGTACCACCAACTCTAAAGCCTCAGCTTGAATATTTTGCCTGGGGGGAAGAAGCCGGCTGTAAAGCAGATAGCCCTATTCCCTTCCCAGAGGACCTGACTTCATTTGCAACAGAGTGTAGAGAAGTTCTAGCCTAAGAGCACTCTCTATAACAGTGGAGTTTGTGGTGAAAGGCAAATGGGAAGAAATTTGTAGATTCACTGGCCATAGAGGCTAAATTGTAGGCTGGCTAATTTGTCAGAGAGAAATCAGAAAAAGACTGTTGGCAGGATCCCTCCTCAGGTCAGAACAAATCTCAAACTATCTTCTCTAACTTCTGGTTTCTGATCCTACATGTAAAGAACTTAGAAATCATCACTCCTGTCCTCACAAGAAAAAAACCTGAACAAAAAATATCAACAACTGTTTTTAGTTCCATCAGAGATTTAAGATCACAGAGCAGACTGCTGTCCCCAAAACTAGTAAGAGAAGTGAATACCAAGAATCACAGCTTACCAGAAGTAAGCCACTGGAATCAGTACCAGGCAAACAAAAACAAGGACACTAGAGGAAATTTTGGCCCCTGACACCTACTGCTTCAGCAACAACATACATAACCTAGTCCCTCGCCAGATAAACATAAAACCTCACTCCAAAGACCCATTTACCGCAATTCCTTTTACATCACATACAACTTCCAACAAAAAATTACAAGGCATGCTAAAATGTAAAATGCAAAGACTGAAGAGACAAAGCAAACATCAGAACCTCCTTGGCTCAGCGAGGAGCCTGTTTCTCCCTCTCCTTCTGCCTGCTGCTCCCCCTGCTTGTTCTCTCTCTCTGTGTCAAATAAATAAATAAAATCTTAAAAAAAAATCAAAAGGAAATGCTAAAAATCAAAACTCCATACAAATGAAGAATGTTTTTGATGGGCTCATAAGTAGACTGGACACAGCCAAGGAAAGACTGGTAAACTTGAAGATATGTCAACAGAAACTTCCTAAACTAGAACAACAACAACAAAAAATGATAAAAGCAGAACACAGTATTCTAGAACTGAGGGACAATGAGAACAGGTGTAATATACACATAACGGGAATACTAAAAGGATAAGAAAAAGAGAACAGAAGAAATACTTGAAATAATAATGGCTGAGAATTTTTCAGAATTAATCACTGACACCAAACCACAAATCCAAAAAGCTTACAAAACACCAAGGAGGATAAACACCAAAAAACCTATACCCAGGTACATACTATTCTAACTATAGAAAATCAAAAATAAAGAGAACATCTTGAAAGAAGCCAGAGGGGAAAAAGCACGTTATCTAAAGAAGAACAGGATAAGTTCCAAGTTACATTGGACTTCTCTTCAAAAAACATGCAAGAAAACAGAGTGAAGTAAAATATTTAAAGTGATGAAACAACCCCCACCCACAGTCTTTAAGACTCCGAGACCCAATTCCAATATGGGGGGAGGAGATCTCCCACACACAACACCAAGCAATTCTCAGACACCAGTAGAGTGTTGGACAACTCAACTCAATTCTTACACTATCTACTAGGAGATAGCATCAGATTCCACAGGTTTTCAGTCCAACCAGACTGCCCTCCACCCCCCACTTCAGATGCCAGTCATCAAGCCCCCAGGCTGTTACCTGTGTTTCTGATCCATGGGCTACAGACTGGGGTTCCAATGACCTTCTCCTTAGTTTCTTTTACTTTAATATAGTGGCTCACAGAACTCCGGGAAACATTTACTTATGTTTACCAGTTTTTAAAGGATATGATAAAGAATACAAATCAACACCTAGATGAAGAGGTACACCGGAAAAGGTATATCCATGCCCTCTCCAGGCAAGTCACTCTCCCCACATCTCCAAGTGTTCACCAATCCAGAGCTCTTCAAATCCAGTCCTCTTGAGGTTTTATGGAGGCTTCACTGTATAGTTGTACAAAGTCATTGGCCAGCGGCTGATTCAACCACCAGCTCCCCTCTGTTGCCTGGAAGTCCAGGGTTGGGAATGAAAGTTCCAACCCTCTAATCACATGTTTGGTTCTCTAGGCAACAAGCCCTTACACTTGGGTGGGGTCTGAAAGTTACCTTCATTAATAACAAGGCACATACTTCACCTTTATGGGTCTAAAGCATTTTCAGGAACTGTAGATGAAGAGCAAATATATCTGAGAAAAATATTTTTGTCACCTGAATGACCCAATATAGATTTTTTTTAATTTAAATTCAATTAGACAACATATAGTACATCATTAGTTTTTGATATAATGTTCAATGATTCATTAGTTGCATATAACACCTAGTGCTCATCACATCCAAATATATATTTCTTATAAATCATTATATCACACCCAACCAATCTAGAATTTTGTATCCCAAGAAGTTATCCTTCAAAAGTCAAAAAGAAATCAGGTTTTCTCAAACAAAAATCGAGGGAATGTGTTGCCAGTGGATCTGCCTTTCAAGAAATGTTCAAAAAAGTTCTTCAAAAAGAAGAAAAATTATATAGGTCAGAAACTCAGATCTACCTTAAAAAAGGAAGAATGTTAGAAAAGGAATAAACAGGGGCACATGTGTGACTCAGTTGGTTAAGTGGCTCAGGTCATGATCTCAGGATCATGCCCAGAATCCAGCTCCACACTCAGCAGGGAGTCTGCTTGAGATTCTCTCCCTTGCCTTCTGCCCTTCCCCCTGCTCATGTGTGCCCACATGTGCTCTTTCTCTCTCTCAAATAAATAAATAAAAGGAATAAATAAAGATAAAATAAAATCCTTTATTTTTCTTATTTTTTTTAAGATTTTTATTTATTTGACAGAGAGACACAGCGAGAGAAGGAACACAAGCAGGGGGAGTGGGAGAGGGAGAAGCAGGCCTCCCGCCGAGCAGGGAGCCTGATGTGGGGCTCGACCCCAGGACCCTGAGATCATGACCTGAGCCGAAGGCAGAAGCTTAATGACTGAGCCACCCATGCGCCCTATTTTTCTTATTCTTAATTGATTTAACAGATAAAAATCTGTTCATAATAATAACAGCAACAACGTATTCAGTGAATATAGCTTATGGATAAAAAGAATGGCATCAACATTATAAAAGGCAGGGGGGAGCAATTAGAAATACTCTATTATAAGGTAACTACACTACCCATGTAGAGGTATAGTGCTACTTGAGAGTGATTTAGATTAGTTGTAAATGTGTTACAAGGTCTGAGGCAACCATTAAAAATTTTTAAAAAGAAGTATAATTGATATGCTAAAATAGAGAGAAAATGGAATCATATAAAACAATTAAAAGCAGAGAAGACATAAAAAAGAATGAAAGACCAAAAAAGAACAAAAGGCAATGAAGAGAAAATAGTTATAAATATGGGAGTGTATTAAACCAACTATATCAATAATCACTTTAAATGTGAATGATCTAAATATACCTATTAAAAGGCAGAGACTGTCAGAGTGGATAAAAAAACAAGACTCAAATACATGATATCTATAAGAAACCCATTTCAAATATAAACACACAGATTACAGTAAAGGAATGGAGAAAGATATACCACACAGATACTAATCAAAGGAAAGCTGGAGTAGCTATATTAATTTTAGACAAAGTTGACTTCCACAATAAAAATTATCAGGGATAAACAGTGGCATTACATATGATAAAGGGGTCATTTCTCCAAGAAGACATAAAAAATCCTTAATGTGTGTGCATCTAACAACATGTGAGATAAAAACTGACAGAGCACAAGGAGAAACAAATCTACTATTATAGTTGGAGACTTCAACACATCTGTCAGTAACTGGTGGATCCAGCAAGCAGAAAGTCAGTAAGGATATAGGTGAACTGAACGGTACTATCAATCAACTGGATCTGACTGACATCTATACAATACTTCATCCAATAAAAAACAGCGGAAGACACATTCTTCTCAAGCTCACATGAAATTCACCAAGAGAGACCATAATCTGGGCCATAAAACACACCTTTACAAAATTAAAAGAGCAGAAGTAATACAAAGTATGCTTTCAGACCACAGTGGAAATAAATTAGAAGTCAATAACAGAAAGCTGGAAAATCCCAAAAGATTTGGAGATTAAACAACACAATTCTAATTAACACATGGGTCAAAGAAGTCTCAAGAGAAATTTTAAAATATTTTTAACAAAATGAAGATGAATAAAATATATAAACATTTGTGGGATGCTGCAAAGCAGTGCTTGAGGGAAAAGAATAGCACTAAATGTATATATTACCAAAGGAGAGAAGCTTCTAGGTTGGTGAACACGTAGAGATTTAGGAACAGTAGTATGCTCAGAGCATGGATATTCCATGCCCCTTCCCACATACCTACATATCTCTTCTATCTGGCTGTTCTTGAATTATATCCCTTTATAATAAACTGGTAATTCTACTAAAAAGTCAATCACAAAAGACCACACACTATGTGATTCAATTTATATGAAATGTCCAGAACAGGTGCATCTACAGAGACAGAAAGTCTGTTGAAGATTGATGGGACTATAGCTAAAATGGAATAGGATTTCTTTTTGAGGTGATGCAAATGTTAACTGTAGTGATGGCTGCCTATATGAACCACAATGGTTCACCAAAATTCCTATCATTGAATATGAATTTCAATAAACTAAAAACCATTAAACTGTATACTTTAAATGGGTGAAATGTATAGTATGTGAATTATCTTAATAAAGGTATTAAGAGAAAGAAAAAAAGTCTATTTTTTAGAGAAGCAAACTTAAGTATGGCATGGTGTTTCTAATATGCTTTAAAATACTTAAGTCTATAAAAAGGTCAAGGAAAGGGGGACAATGGGATAGATAAGCAAATGCAGCAAAATCTGAATCACTTTTGAATCTAGTAATGAATATATGGAGGTTCACTATACTACTCTCTTTGAAGCAAGTTTGAAATTTTTCTTTTAAAACAAACAAAAAAAATGCAAGTACTTCCAAAACAAAACAGAAATTCTCTAGGGGCGCCTGGGTGGCTCAGGTCATGATCCCAGGGTCCTGGGATTGAGCCATCGGGCATTGCATGGCAGTTCTCCGCTCAGCGGGGAGACTGCTTCTCCCTCTCCTCCCCGCTCGTGGTCTCTCTAGCTATCTCTGTGTCTCTCTCTCAAATAAATAAATAAACATCTTTAAAAAAAAGAAATTATTCTGTAAAGCAGCATCTAATTATTAGATACCTGGCTCCCTTGACTCTGATATCCTCTAAGCGTAATAAGACACTCTTCCATACCCTGAGCAACCCATCATTTTGCCCGCACTATAAAGTAAATTGGTATTTGCAAAGATGAAATCTCTAACTTTGGATTTAACAAGATTTTAAAATTACAACCCATTTTATTACCTATACTTATTTTGGGCTCATTTTTCCATTCTCCTATTTCATTAAGCACTGATATAGCATGTGGTTCTATAAAAATTAGTTAAGATTAACAATGAGGTGAATTACAGCAAAAATGTTCATCAAAAAGATACCTGCTGACACAGCACCGATAATTGTCAAAATATATTCTTCCTCTCTCATAGGCTATAGGTGACTTGGAATGAGTTGTCCACACATTCTTAAATTTAGTACTTTCCTGAAAGACACAAGGAATTTTGGTTTAGGGAATAATTCATAAGTCTCTACCGTGCACCAATTTTAAGTGGGATAGTTAAATCTACAGTCAGTTTTCAAAGTAATTTCACGTACGTTATTTAAAACATTATGTTCCTATCTTCCTCACTCTGCGCTCACGTGTTAAGCCGGGTAACCAAATTTTAGGAAGATCGTTTGCAGGAAGACATAAGAAGCTTAAAACTAAAAGCATCTGGCGGTTCTATTAATAGCTATTTACTAATTCCCCAGGTTCAGGGCCTGGATTCCCTGCTCATCACATGTGATCTTCTTAAAAGGAGGCTCTAACACTTAAAAACTGCACCCCGGCAGGAGGCTTGGCCGCCAGTCGCCCCGCTGCCCTTGGCCCCATTCCCAGCCGCCGACGATCACCTGGCACACCAGCGCCCTCAGGATGCCCAGGTTCGTCCTCTGCACCACGCCTGCGTCCCGCGAGAAGAAGCCCAGCGCCCGGCGACTCAGCTGGCGGCACACGTTGGGTTTCCGAGTTGGGCCCATGGAGGCAAGGGCCGGGTGCGGGGTTGGCTGGGCTGAAGAGGGGAGCGCCCCTCGCTCCCGCGCAAGGCAGCAGCCGTTACCTCCGAACCTCCAGGCCCCAACTCCCTGAAGGACTCGAAAAGCTGACACCGGGAGCCGGGCAATGAGCGCACGGCCTTGGGGCGAGATAAGGCGGAATCGGCACCGCCTGAGCGCAGAGTGAAGGAAAAGACACCCCTTCGACCTGCCCCTCAAACACTCTGCAGCGCTGGTGCGGGTAGTGTGACGCCCCCGTAACGCGCGGCCTGCTGGAGCCGTTCCCTCAACGGGAAGTGTAGTTCCCAGAGCCCTTTGAGGGAGCCTGGCTAGTTCCCAGAACTACAGTTCCCATCAGGCGGCGGGAAGAGAGTCTTGAGCCGGCCCCGCCTCCAACCAGCCGTGGCCCCGCCCGACCTCGCCTCCTCCGGCCCGGCGGAGACTGCGCTGTGCAGCGGGCGGCCTTTTCCTGCTCTGCCCGCGGCGCGGGGCAGAGCACCCGGGCGCTCTGCTGCCGGCTCTTGGCGTTGGTTTACTGTGCGAACCGTGCAGCCCCGGTACGCTCACGCCCATCAGCTCCCGACTTTCGTTCTGGGAGGCGCTGACCGGGTGCCGAGAGGGCGCTGTGTGGAGTGCGACTCCCCCCCTCCCCAAAGCAGCATTCGTGCTAAAGGTACGCCCCGCGGCTTCCCCTTAAGTCGCACGTTGGACATTGTGGATGAGGTTGACGGTTAAACATTTTGGGTCTATAAACATTATGCTATTGTGGTGGTGGAAGATAAGTGGTGGAAGATGCTGGCATCCCCACCAAACTAGGGTTGAATTACTCCTCCAGAGCTCGCCCTTCTGTGGCCTGCGGGGACACAGGCTGTTTTTGCGATAATTGCTGCGTTTTCCTTCCTCTCGCCTTTTTTTTTTTTCCTTTTTTTGGTAATAAAATAGGAAATGTTTACATTCCTTATCAGACTAAGGTATTCCACGTTGATTCCTCTAAGTAAAAGGTAACTTTGTCAACTACCCCTGCCTGTAGGATCAAAGTTCCCACTACACTACGTTTTCAGTAATCGTGCAGTAGGTGTGCCCCCTCGCTTTGCACGTCCCTTGAGAGTGGTGTCTTTGTATCTGCCACGTGAGCTCGGGCGTGCTACCTCTTGTTCCTATGTGGGCAAGGGAGTGATCGCCTCTGACTGACAGCAGAGTGCAATACTGGGTGAGTGCGTTGGGTCACAATTGAAGTGTTTAGTAAAAATTTGTCACATCTCTTTTTCACCCTGCTGAATTTCCTTCAGGGCCTGGGCTTTTGCTGATTTTTCATGACTTATTTACAGCATACTGTGGAGTGCTATGTGTATTTTTAGAGCGCGCTATAATAGTTAATTTGGTAATTCATGAATGCAGCTGTCACTGAGAAAACTGGGACCCAGAAAAGAGAACTGGATTTTCTTTGGATGAAATGAAATTCAAATCATTGCTGACTTAAATTCATCATCTCTCTTTTCTCATTCCTCTTCACCCTCACTTGTTTGTCTTCCTGTGGTGTTTATCTTACCACCAACTCACCCAGAAGTCATCCTGGATACCATCCTTTTCTCACCCACAACCAAGTCCTTTAGATTCTAACTCCTATCCATCTCCTTTTTGTATCACCTAAGTAATTTAGGGCCTCACCATTTTATCACATTATTATATTAAGTAGCCTCCTTCCTGCCTTGCTTAAGTACTTTCAATTCAACCCTCCATACGGCTGCTAGAGTGATTTTTCCAAAGCACAAATCTGTCATTTCCTTATTAAAATCTTTCAGTGGCTCCCAATCGCCCAGAACAGAATTTCTCAAGCCTGAGTAGATACCCAGGATTCTCTGTTGTTAACTTAAAATATTTTCAGTATGTTAAATATATGCAAATATAAAACTATATATAAACTCCTTATGTTGTATATCTTATACAACTATAACTCCCAGTTATAAGTTAAATGAAGCACAAATAAAACAAATAAATTCAAATGAATACTTATTCTTTACGAATGAGACTCTTTTTGCTGGACCTAATACACTCCAAAAGCAAATGTTCACCGTCCTCCATAGCATAATTTCCTTACAAAAGGCCTGTCCGTTTTGTACTTGTGTTGAGATTACTCAATGCCTTCATCTCTTTTCTTTATTTAAACCACTGCAAAGCTTTCCTTTGTTCAGTGTGTCGTGATTTCATTTGACCTTCACTTGTCAAACACCATCATTTACATAAAGTAGTTCCCATTTCTTTCTCATTAACCTGTGCCAATGACAAATGGTACCAGTTGTTTGCCAGTGCACTGCTAAACACAAACATGTGAACTGAAATCTTACGACAGTAATCAATAAAAAGGTGGCCATTCAGATGATCCAAAGTATCCTTTTAAAAAATGTTTTTGGTTTTGATTTTTATCAAGTTGAAAATAAAAGATTTCTCTAAGAGAAACATAGCCTTGGGGCTACATCTACAAATCCCTCGGGGTCTGTGTAGGTTCCTTGTAAGACAGAATCTGAATCCCTTAATGTAGTGTACAGGGCACTGTTATCTGCATACTTACCCACACTGTCAGCCATATTTCTTTGTCCCTCCTTAACATTTGCTATTGAGGTTCTGACATGTTGCTCACTTACTCAAGCCAATGTATCTTTGCATCTCAAATTTTCTTTGGAGCTCCCTTTCTTTCCTTCTCTTATCTGTTTATTTCATGACTCATCCCAGGTATCGCAGCTCCACTCATACTTTTCCTGACCCCATCACTTTAATTTTAGTCTTGCCTCTTCTAACACGTTACTCTGCATACATTGGTTGCAGCACTATATTAGAATTGTTTGTCTGTGTTTCCAACATTTTGTTTTTATTCTTTTTTTTTGAGTAGGCTCTATTTCCAAAGTGGGGCTTGAACTCACAACCCCAAGATCAAGAGTTGCATGTTCTACCCACTGAGGCAGCCAGGTGCCCCCCACCATACTGTTTTTAGAGTAGTCCATTCATTCATTCAACATACATATGCATTGACCACATTTTAGGCAGTATCCTAAGGATGCATATGTATGTTGAATAAATGGACTATTCTAAGGACAATATATAGAATCTATAATTGGCAACTAAAACCTTTAATGTACATGCAGATTTATTCTCCCTTTATTCTTTAAATCAGTAGGAAACCACAATGTTCATAAGAAGAAATAACCTTTTTTTAAAAAAAAAAAGATTTTTATTTATTTATTTAATTGACAGAGAGACAGCATGAGGGGGAACACAAGGAGGGGGCGTGGGAGAGGGAGAAGCAGGCTTCTGGCCCAGCAGGGAGCCTGATGCAGGGCTTGATCCCAGGACCCCAGGATCATGACCTGAGCCGAAGGCAGTTGCTTAACCAACTGAGCCACCCAGGTGCCCCAAGAAGAAATAACTTTTTAAAAACTTAAATCCCCAACAGTTCTACCTTTAAAAGTAGATATTTTTTCCATTTGTTGAAGGTAAAATGGCATGCATAGATATCCCTAGCTTAGAATTTGAAAATAACTTTTCGATTTGGGACAAAAAACAAACATTGTTTTTTTGGTGTTTTTTTTTTTTTCAGTCTGTGCCTATGTGTTTACAGAATACTTAACCATTTTTACCATGATATTTTTAAAAATACGTTTTTTTAATTTTTTTTTTTAAGTAATCTCTACTTTCACCTTGGGGCTCTAACTCATGATCCCAAGATCAAGATCATGTGCTCTACTGTCTGAGCCAGCCAGGTGCCCCTACCATGATATTTTAAAGACAAGAAGAGATGTGAATTCAGAAGTTAATAAAATGCTTTTTGTTCATATACTTTGTTTAAAGAAGCATAGTATAACGGAATAAAGCATTCAGGTTATTAAACTTGAACATTTGTTCAGAGACAAATTTGAACGAAAACCACAGGAAGTCATTCATTCAGCATGTAATTATTTTCATGTACTGCCGGGAACTATTTTGGCATAGGGTGTAACAGTGAATGGGATAGACAAGGAATGGGATAGACAAGGTCCCTACATGTGGAGGGAGATAGACAATAAATAAATAGATTTTAAGAATAAGATTTCAGGTAGTGATAAGGGCTGTAAAGAAAAGAAAACAGGGTGATGTGCTTGATAGAGTGTGCTTGGAAGCCCTGCTTTAGCGAGAGTGGTCAGAGAAAGCCTCTTGCAGATTGGACTTTTTTTTTTTTTGGAGGTTGGACTTTTGAGCTGAGCCCTGAATGATGAGGATGGGTCAGTCTGCAAAGAACTGAGGTTAGAGTAGTCCAGGCAGAAAGATGCTTGAATGCAGGGTCTGCAAGGCAATAACAACCTTGGTTTTTTTCTAAAACTGTCAGGCCAGTGTGGCTCTTTAGTGTGCATGAGAGAGATGAACCTGGAGAGGTAGGCTAGAAGGAATTTTGGATTTTATTCTGTTGTAATAGGAAGCCAAAGGAGGATTTGAAGGAGGAGAGTGACATGATCTAATTTGTGTTGTAATAAAATCTTTATATCTATAGTGTGGAGAATGTACTGTGGGGAGACAAGAATGGAAGCAAGGAGACAGGTGGCTGTTAAGTTGGTCCAGGTAAGAAATCATAGTGTTTGGACTGGAATGGTAGCAGGAGAAATGGAATGAAGTGAACAGATTCAAGATGTATTTTGGAAGTAGAGTTGATAAGACTTCTAATGTAGTGGATATTAACAGTGAAGAAAAGATTCAAGTGAAATGATGTTAAGCAGAACCACAAATAAGCATTCCTAAATTCCCCAGAACAAATGGAAAACAGGGAACTACTTATGATTCGATGTCTATGAAGCAGTACCTACATTTTATTAAATGTACACATCAGCTTTTTAGACATTAATGCTAAGGAATGTTAGGATCTGTTCTGTGGTTAGGACATGTGGAAAGAGGGAAATAAAATCAGATCCCAGAGGGTCAGGAGTCAGAGCATGTGGGACCATGGTAATTTGATGGAAAAATCATTAGTGATAGGACATTCCCTTTAAGAACAAGAGTGAAATAGACCATTTAGCAGGTAATTGGTGTAGTTTAGAGGAAAGAATCACATTTGGAAATTTATTTTTAAATTGTTCAGGCTTTTGACCATATGTTTGATTCTTATGTTTCCTTTTCTTTGTATATTTTCATATTTGTTTGAATGTGAAGTACATTCATGCATATATAAAATCCAGAAAGATTTAGGTTTAGAGGTTGATAGTAAAGTTTGTAAACCATTCTTATTTTTAAATTATTATTTAAAAACATGTATAGATAATATAGCGTAATATATAAATAATAATTATAAAATGAATACCCATATATTTATCATCAATTTATAAAAAAGACCCGGAACATTACCTACAACTTTGACATCTCCTCTGCGCCTCTCCTGGTTCCCAGATCCCTCTTTCCTCTTTAAAATAAAATATTGTTAAGTTTTGAGTGTTATTGAACATCATATAAATTGAATCATTCTACATATATGTACTCTTCTACAATTTGCCTATTTTTTCTTCAGTGTTTCATTAATACTTGACAAAGTACCTATAGTTCATTTCATTTATTTTTACTGCTATATAGTATTTCATTGTATGACTTTACTATAATTTATCCATTTTCTATTGGCTGGGCTTTTGTTTCTTTCAAGTTTTTTATTCCTAGAAAGGT